AATTATGCTCAGCAGAATGGGACTTCACCAGTCCTAAGAACAAAGCAACTTTTCTGGAGGTTTGTACTGAAGAAATTACCCCACATGGTTAATCTAGAGAAGTGGTGGCTAGAAATGGCACAGGTCCAAAGAGGTAGGTTTAGCTGATAAAGTTTGCAGTGTACTTATTAGATCAGTCCCACTGATTAATAGACTTACATTTTAAAACATGTTACGAGAAAATGATTCACATATTTAAAAGAATCACATAAATGATTCTTTTAAAAGCATTTTATTTTAGGAATGATCTTTTTTCCTTCCATTCTTCGTCCTTATATTTCTTTAAGAATATCAAGGAGGACAAATTGCAAAATGTTAGGCGCAGTGCATTTAAACAGTGCCTGGCTAGGACAACAGGGTTAATAAATGCAGACTCAATCTGGACAAAATTAAGAAGCTGTTAGTGGATTCTTCCTCTAACTGCACAAAGGACGCTTATCCTTTTCTGGATGAGGATGTATCTCCCTTAAGAAAGGAGGTCCATTACTCAGGCTTTCTTCTGCATTGAGCATTGTCACCTGAGACTCAAGGTGGCTTCAGTGGTACAGATTACCTTCCATCACTTTCAGCTGGTGGCTCAGCTATGCTTCTATCTAGACATGGATAAGCTGTTTTTCAGTAGTCTTATGTTCTGGTGAACTCAATGTTGGATAAGTGCAATGACTTTCTATAGGTCTGCTTTGGAAGATGGTTTAAAAATTGGTAACAAGGTTCAGAGGGATCTCAGAACATGGCTCCAGATTCTGGCCTGCCTATACTGGTTACCTATACATTTCTGAGCCAATTCAAGGAACAGATTTTTGCCTTACGGTGCATGAGACTAGAATACCTGCTGGAGTACTTCTCCTGCTATGAAACTTATGATCAGTATCTGGGACCATTCTCTGGCATTTGATGATGACAACAAAGGGCAACCTTTTTTGTGGTGGCCCTCTTAATTAAGGAATGTTCTCCCTAGCAAGGCCCACTTAGCATCAAGATTGTAATCTTTTCATTGGAAGATCAAGAGTCTTCTCTATTCCAAAGCATTTGCTGGCATAATGGGCTGCTTTAATGCATTAGTTGAATTTAAATGTCTGTCTGTCAGTGGTGTTACAGCTATTTTATGGGGTGGCTGCACTCTATTTTATATGGATAATTGTTATTTTTAATTTTCTATTTTACAGTAATAATAGCAGCAACAACACTGACAGTAATTTAAACACTTTTCCTTGAAAATACTTCTTCAGTGGGACTTATTGCCCAGTAAACAAGCAAGCAAAAAGATTAAGTAAGAGACCTAAAATGACAATGTGGCTTGAACCTTTATATGCGCGCGCGCGCGCGCGTGTGTGTGTGTATCAAGCAGCAATATGTTTCTTTCCTTCAAAAACTCTCAGCCAAGTGCTTTTTTCCCCACATGTCCAACTATACTCAGATGCTTTTTATTGCAATAATGAGCTGATGACTAATTAATGTTAATGATTCTTTAGATGAATCAGAATATTACTGCAGTAGGATGCTAATTCGAGAAATATGGTGCCAATTTTAAAGTTGCTTCTCTTCTTTTGCCAAGAAGTATTGAGATAACAGCATTGTATTTGCTTACTAATCACATCAGCATTCAAGCTATGAGTTATATTAATCATTATTCCAGGCATGTATCATAACCAATAGCATTCACACTTCTGTCATTGCTTAGAAATATAGAACATATAATACATAGAAAAGGAGGGAGAGGAAGAAGCAGAAGCAGTCGCTGCTGCCGCTGCCACTGAAGAATATATGAAACCTGCACTTGAGAATTCTGTGACTCGAATATATGCAACTGGCCTGAACTAGATTATCAATTCCGTTTTGGAGGCAAACTATGGTTTGTACAAATTACCATGTACCATTTCAGCTAAAATGACAAACAGTGACTTGGGAACCTCAAGTAGTTTCTCAACCAAACACTGACCAGAGGCCACTTGTGTGCTGTAACTTAGAACCAAAGATCCCAAAATGTGTCCCAGTGTTTGCACACATGTAGTTTCAAGTAATAAAACAATAGACATATAAAAACCTTGTACTTGCCAGAATATACATTCAAACAAAACTGCCTTTCTTTCACTTTCTATCCCATGTTAAAAATACTTAACCTTCATATAAACATTGCAAGAGAGGTTCAAAGGAAAATTAAGTCTCATAGCTGCAAAAATAATTGCAAATTCAATTCTGCATTCTCTTTAATGTTGCAATAAGCAACTGTTTCTCCATCTTCTTATGGAGAATCCCTAAGTTCCCTACTTCTCCTTCACATAAAGTGCAGTAGTTTACAGCTCCCTTTTAATATATTCACATGTGTACTTTTGAGGCAACAATCCTATACAGGTTTACCTGGGAATAATCTCAAAACATAGTGCATCTTACTCAGGGCTTTTTTTGTCATAGAATGCACTGGAACTGTGTTCCGGCACCTTTTTTTCAAATGGATTTTACGAAGTGATTTTGAATCGTAGCAGATTAGCAGCAAACATCATTAACATAGTGCCTGCAGGCTGCTTTTGTGTCTGCTATCTGATAGTGAGATAGTGAGGGCGCTGCTCTTGGCCTGGGACGCTGCTCCGCTGCTCCGTTTGGGATTGATGTGTGTGGTTGCACGCTTACTGCCGGCGACGTGAGTTCCGGAACTGTTTTTTTTTTTTTTTTTACAAAAAAGCACTGATCTTACTTCTGAGTAAACAGGAACACATTTATTTTCAGTAATACAACTTGGGAAGGTTTTTCCCACTAAAAGCTGGCCAAAAGGAGTTTAAATAATAAAATTACTCTAAGAATTTCATATACTCCCAAATGTCATAATTTTGTGTTCTACTTTATACATGATGCATATAATTTCATTAAAATTGCAAAATAAATTTACATTTATCAGAAAGTATGTTTTCTTTTTTAAAAAAGCAGGAAAAATAATCCATATTCTTCCACAGCTTTAAAATTGCTGGAAATTTTATATCTATACTCATAAATATTATATCTATACTCATAAATATTTCTCCAGTAATGGTTGCAAATATTGGTCATGGTTTTCATATGAGTCAGGTAGGGATTATAACCTGGATATTGTGGAAGAATTTGTATACCGGATACTTGTTAAGGTAATTCCAACATATCAGCTCTGGAATAAGTATCTCTGAAGGCTGATAAAAATTCTGCTTATAAAACCATTCACTGCTAAAATCCTAAGCGATAACTCAGCCCCTACTCCAAATGTTCTCATGAAGTGTATGATTCAGGAAGGAAGCAATAAGAACTAGGACTAGAAGCTTCTTTTAATACCCAGATAAAAAAAGTTAACATATCCTATATTGGGAGTTTATAAACAGTTAGCAACCAAGCAGTTTCAGGAAGGATCACAAAAATGCCAAACTTTTTGAAAGACAGTGAACAATTCAGCACCAAACACTTGTACCTACTATTCATTCCTATGAGTGGCAACAACAACAATCAACCCAAGCCTTAGAAAGAAGCCTATATATCACAGATTCCTTTCTTCACAGTTTACAGTTGATGGTGAAAGATGTGCAAAATAAATACATTTTCCCACATCTCTATGAAAACAATACTTATACAGCACGAGGCTCTTAACAAGGCAGACATAGCATAAAGCAGGGGCTATACTGTCACTTAAACCTTTCTCATGGGAAAATTTATGAAACAATGCTTGCCCTTTAATATTTTATAGTGCTTTTTCCTGGAATCTTGATTTTCAAGTCATATGTTTGAAAGATACATTCCCTCTATATATATACATATATATATATTTGTGATATTGTTCATCATTCTTAAGCTTTATGTCCCTGTCTTAAAGAATTTATTTTGCTTTTTAAAAGAGCTGTTACAGTCAAGTCTTGCCAATAATGGGATTATAGTAACATGAAAGCGCATTTGTAACATATGAAAGGATTACTGCTTGAAAGTGAGCTATCAAGAACATTATCAGTGGTTGCATCTTAAAGGGTGTACCCTAGCAAGAGAAGCTATAAATTATTAGCATACTGCACTCTAACAGCTTAGATTAATAAGCCACTTCTGCATTAACTGTACATGCATTTCTACTGTCCAACAAACTATTAACAAGCTGAACAGAGTTATTAGGGATCCTGGGAAAATATTCAAGTAGAGTTGCCTACTTGGCTAACAATTATCTTCAATGACTCACAAGCAGGATCAGGAGTTGCTGCTTGCTATGTTGCCATAGAGTCTGATGTAGTTCGTAAGTTTAACCCAGAAAGTTTGGGGACTAGTGGAGTGTGCAAGCAGGATGTTTGCACTTTTACAGCCCAGGAATGTTTTTCCTGAGTTGTTCTGTGATGTGTATACTCAGAAGCTCTGGGCTGTACATGGGTTAAATAACCCAGAACTTAGCCCAAAAGCAGATAATAATTGGCAATTACTGGTTCAACTCTGAGTCATTTAAACCATAAACATCCCAGAGCTCCAGGTCCATGGTGGCTTTCCTGTGTTGTTAATCAAAAGTAGAAACGTGTGCATGGCTTGCCAGCTCCACTTCTCCCCACAAATCTAGGGTCAAACAACCCAGGAATTGCTGCTATGAGACATGATACTTTCTTATACTGACTCCTCCTTCCCCAAGATGAAGGACCTTATCTTGGAAAAGGTAGAAGAAGCAATATCCCAGTGTGCCCCACAAAGTGTGTTTTTCTGTCACATGATAGACTGGGACTACAATTCACTGTATGTGGATAGTCAAGATTTATAATGCAGTATGAAATGGGCAGCAATTTTCATCTTTTATTTTAATTACCGGTTTGAATAACTGCTTCCAAATTTTGATTTGGTAATCCAATTTCTTTTGTGCCTACATTAAATATTGCTAGTACAAAGTACACACATGTTGAAAACTTACAGAAAATGAGTCACTTAGCAGTAACACTCATTTCACAGAATCACAAAGGCAAAACAAAAGTATATCACATTACCACTTGGAGCAGGAAGAGAATAATGAGGGATCTGCACTTCACCCAGTGCACTTCCCAGTCGTAATTTAGAGTGTTGCGACAGGAGAGATGGACTAGGAAGCAATGGGCTGGAGTTGGCCTACAAAAAGAAAAAGAAAAAGAAAGGTAAATTGTCATTTCCTCAGTAAGATAGTGCAAAGCATTCACTAACAGTGGAATGATTGTTAGTTCAAGGTAGCAGTAGATTAATTTGGATAGGAAGAGAAACTCTGGGCAGTATGCTTCTTGAAAACATATACAGATTTGAAAATATGATCTGAGAAACAAATAAATTATAAAAGTCATGTGACTTCATCTGGTGGAACATGCCAACACTTCCTTTTGGCATCCTTTTATGTTAATTGTTACATCAACATTGCGGTCTCCAAGCTGCAAGGCAATACATACGTCTCTCCATCTATTGTGAACCTAAGGCTCCCAGTATTATGCAGATAATATAACTTTTTCTGACATTTTCAATTAGGTTTAAGGTGTCCCTTGAAGGGTTTAGTTCCTTTTCTCTCAGGTTTATTCACCAATTTTCCTAATAAAGATTTTGGTTTTTACTAATTGAATGGGCAAATACTTGATCGGGGAAGGTGGGCTCTAATGTCAATATTCAGCTAAAACTAATTTTTCAGGCGACACAGGCTATCTGCAGCCTCCCACTTTAGAAATATTGTTCTAGTTGCACTGAAATATGTGGTTATTGTAAGATTCAAGATCTCAAAAAAGTTCAAAGTACTGAGATCTTTGCTTAGTTTCCTGCTAATATACTATCTCCATGCCTTATGGTTGAAAGATATTCTACAGTTTCATTAGCTTGTAATTTCATGAAGAATTATTTGATTAAAATTGCAACTACAGATGACTGATCTTATAAATTATGTCAATTACAATAATCTTTATTTCATGGTGCCAGATTTCTCCACAGTAGTTTACAGAGGTATACCGCACCATTAGGAAAGTTTGCCATGGCAAGCATCTCTATGATTACTACTTATGGAAGAAGTGCAGTCTGGAAGATGACTACTGGATGAGTCTTTTTCACACTAGCTCCTACTCCTCATGTATTTATATGCCCGCACATGTACACTATGTGGAGAAATACGTCAGTGTGATGCAAATCTCTGATTTTAAGATAAATGTTGACTTAAATGTTGAAATTGTGATTTACATATATTAAACAATCCAGAACAACAATTTCCTATTTGAAAAAATTATTTCAGTTCAATTCTTGTTAAGGAAAGAATGTTTTTATTATGTTCCATTAATTATAATCGAACGTCATGTCAGAGAGATCCAGCAGGGGTGATAACACCAGGGTGGAAATTCAAGATGAATTAATCAAGATTTGCTGCATTTCACACAGTATGCATTTCATAGTCTTTTCTGAATATTCAAGACTCCCCACTTGCCATTGGCCCATTCAGGGTGCAGTTCATCAAATGCCATTGAATAAATTTAATTGAAAATGCCTCAAAATCATCTGATTTGCTTATGTCCTGACCTCTGGAATTTCTTCGAAATACTTAGTTTACTTATCATTATATCACGGAGCATAAATATATATGTTCCTACAACAATTAGAGTTCATAAATCTTTGTTTGCTGACATAATCCAAGTACAGAAGGGCTAGGCTCTGAAGAGCAGAACCCATAGATGAAGAGTGCACTTAAAACTCTTGCCTATGTGCTTATCCTTTCCTGCAAATTCTCGCACTATGTTATTTCCAGTCTTGCAATCCAGATTGGGGGGGGGGTGGTTAAAACTTACAGATGAGGGCATGGGGGGTTAAAGGAGAATCAATAGGCCATGGAAGAATTCAGAATTAACTGCCTCCCCTCCCACTGATTCTCCACTGCACTGCTGTTATAAGGCAAAAATGTTGCTCAATGTCCTGTGTTTGCCTCATAATATGTGGTTCCTCCGTTAACAGACTGAGCTGCAAAGCAACCATCTCCAATTCCACATTGCACCTCACCTCTGGAGCCTATAACAAAGCAACATCTTTCAACCCCAGTCCTCTTGCTTGCCATCCCCCACCCACCCAGACAACTAAGTATGAAGTGCCTTGCAGAAGTACTCACCCCCGTTTGACTTTTCTACATTTTGTTGTGCTACATCCTGGAACTGAAATGGATTTAATTGGCATTATTGCCACTGGCTGTATACAAGATATTCAGCACTGTGGAGGTGCATCTTTTTAAAAATTTGAAATATATATATATATATATATATATATATATATCACCTGTTAAATGCATGAACATTCACCCCTTTGCTGTAACATGCCTAAATAAACTCTGGTACAAGCCACTGTCTCCAGTAGTACCATTCTGTAAGTTGTTGAATGGAGAGCACCTGGGTGTCATTCTAGTGCCACACAATCTCAATTCAATACACCTGTTTTGGAATGATCTCTGAGGTTGTTGGAGAGCACATGTAAACAAACCACCATCATGAAGAAGAAGATAAAGTTGTGCAGAAGCACCCATCATAATTGGGTTACAAAAAAAAAAAAATCCCAAATGATAAACGTCCCCCTGCCGCTGCTGCTGTTGAACTCATTATTACAAAATGGAAAGAATATGGCTCATCTGCAACTCTGCCTAGAGAAGGCCATTCAACAAAATTCAGTGACTGGATAAGGAGTGTCAGTCAGGGAAGCAACAAACAGGCACATGGTAATTCTTTCGGGCCAGGTCAACTCATATTATATTGTTTTATACTGCTCTTATTTATTTATTATTGTGAGCCACCCCGAGGCTTCGGCGAATGGGGCGGCATAGAAGCCTTCCAAATAAATAAATAAATTCTGAAGGAAATAGAGATGGGAGAAGCTGTCCATGGGACAACTATCACCCAGATGGTCCAAAAGTTGGGCTTTATGGAAGAGGGGCAAGAAGAAACCTGAAACAAACCTGACTCAAAGCCCACTTGGGAGTTTGCAAAAAGGCAGGTGGCAAACACAGAAAACATGTGGGAAACAGTTATCTGGTTTGATGAGACCAAATTCGGTAAAACACAACTGTGTTCAATCTCCATGATGAAGCATGATGGTGGTACGAACATGTGACTGGGATGCTCCTCAGCAGACACTGGAAGTCTGGTCAGGATTGAGGGCAAGGGGGATGAAGCCCAGTATAGGGTAATTTTGGGAGAAAACCTGTTTCAGTCTGCAAGGGTGATGAAAGTTCACATTCCAGCAGGACAATGACCCTAACCACAAAGCCAAAGTAACAATGATGCAGTTTCAAAACAAGAACCTGAATGACTCAGAATGGCACAGTAAAAATTTCTGTCAAGACTTGAACATTGCTCTTCACCAATAGTCCCCATCCAGAAGCAGTTTTGCCAGGGATAATGGGTAAACAAAACTTATGTGCCCATATGTCTGTGCCTGTACTTCAGTATGAGATTTAAAATGTTTTCTTTTTAATGTCAACTTTTCATTTGACAAAATATGCCAAGAGTCTTATTGATAAACTAATCACCAGTGTTGAAATTCTGCCTACATCACGAATGGGAAATATGGATATCATTCAGGGGGAAAAACTCCTGTGCACAGTAGTTTTAGAGTCATTCATTTAACCAATAAAATGTAATTAAAATTAGATACACTGACTCTGATCCAAGCAGGAATAAGTGCTAACACAACAGGAAGCCAGCCCAAACTGGTGCTTCTAAACAAGGTAGAGTTCATGAAAGGAAACTCTGCAGACTTGTCCTGTTCTAAAACAACTAGGTTGAGCTAGTTTACAAGACATTATCAAGCAAAAGCAGTCACTCACACAAACCTAGCTCAACATACTTGGGGCTGGCAATCTACCAGTGTTGGATATTGCCCCAAATACCACATTGTATGAAAGGTTCTTCCATTTTCACATGCAAGCTATTTATCTGTAATCTGCAGTCCTCTATCCTCAACATGCACCCTAGAACTACATTGCTGTGGGAATAAGAGGGGTGGAAAGATAGGAGAGGGTCCTCCTATGTAAGCAGCAGAAATGCCTTATATTCACAGAATGAAATTTCTGGAGCCAAGTGGTTATTAAATAATGTCTAAAACTGATACATAAACAAAATCTTAACATGGCTGATTATTTTCCATGATGAACAGATAAGGCTTGAAATTTATGTTGCATTACTGTGTTTTAAAAAATAATCTGATATTTATGTTTTCTCTCTTTTCATTTAATAGACCAGCACCTATGGAACAATTACACTGAAGCAATCATCGTTTCTGAAATGCAGGCTGTGGGAAAGGATTGCTAAACACCTTTTCAACAACAAGAAAAGGTTGGCTAAGACAGCTAACACCAATCAACTCTTTTTTTTTCATAACACACTTTGCTTGCCTAACGCAAAAGCCACAGTTCTATCACAGACAGTTTACTACAAAGCCTCAGTTGGGTAAAAACTGCAAGTACAAAAAAAAGTTGTATGTATGTTTAAAGAGATAAGTGAAGCCTAGGTATTTTCTGCCAAGTTTTAACAAAGCTGTTTTGCATTTGCTTTTTGCATTATGGCAGCTCTATGTAAATTATGCAAATATTTATTTTCAATGGACCTAATTTCAATGTATAAAATTGTATTGCATACGAAAATAAGAATACAAGTGAGGTCAAGACCCAGCCAGCTAATACCAAATTCTCTGGTGGTTCCCTGATAAATCAGTATTGTGACCTTTTACAACTTAAAAGCATCTAAATTTTCATATTTGCTTGCAAGTCAAATTAGGGTGACAAAGTCAGCACACTGCACCTTGTCCTTTTAAGGTTCATTTTTGAAATTTTGTACATTTGGGACAAGGTGTACTTGCACAGCAGCACTTCTTAAATCAAGGTTTTGTTAGAGTATTTCATTAAAAATTATTAGCTATGAAAAAATGCTATCCCCTTTTGTTTAATACTTGAATGGCTGTACATGCAGCACTGATGAATACAAAAATAGAGTTTCACAATATAATCCATGCAAACTTCGATTCTGAATATAAATTTATTACCTTTTGCTATTATACATATCACTTATTGCCCACTGAATAAAAATACAAAGCAAATTGTTATAAGAATAATTTCATGAAAGAATGGTTTGAAATTTCTTCCTAGCAGATAGCTTTCTATAAAAGCTATTATCTTGGAAAAAAAATTCTCTCTAACTTTAGCCAACTTGCAACCCAAACCTGAAAGCATATTTTGCTTTGTGAAGCTACTATATAAGGGCATGACGCAGTCCTTCTAGGAGCAATGTGCCTGCGTTTGAAGAATGACCATAGGGTCCAACAAGTGTCCCATTTCCACTTTCAGTGTACTGGCAGACTATATCCCATTCCAGTCATCTATCTGAGCACAATACAAAATGCTTATGCTCTGGAATGTCACCTTGAATTAATTTGGTTTGATCTTTTCAAAAGATGGGAATGACCAACACATATTTCTCTCACAACACCACATTGGTGCAATCAACTAAGAGGCGGAGATTTTCTATTTATTTATTGCCTGGCTACTGCTTTTCCACTTTAGATAATATGAGCACATTGGTCCTATAGTCAATTAAAAGCTTAGGAAAAATAATAATATACAAAATGGCTTTGTGCTAAAAGTGCATATCTTAAAAGCAGCAACTTTACAGCCTTTCGTAGAAAGAGATGGAGGTAACAACAAAACCAACAGAATGCACACATGACCACCTTAGTCATTCAATGTGTTTTTCTCAAAAGTACAAAGCAAGGATTGCAGAAAATTGTGCAGAGATACCCTTAAGACATGGCCACTGGCAAACAGCTCTTGCTGCAGGCACACTGCAGAACTATACGGGGTAGTAGTGACAAAAAACTGCTGGTTTGCCAATTTTGCTGAACAATTATTAGGTCATGTTTAGCCTAAGAACAAGCTGAATTTGACCTAGTGACTGGTTCCACTGTGGTAGTCTCAAATATCTGGGGTGGGTTACTGCTGTGAATTTCAGTAATGTCATAGAAAGAATTGGTAGAGGCTATTCCAGGAGTCACTCCTGCCTTGAGACAACACAACAAATGCTTATTAGACAACACTGTTAAATCAAGATTGCACAGAAAGGTAACATACATGGTTCCTGCTCATCCCAACATCTTTCTTCACGAGTCCCCCCGCTTTTTTTTTTTGAAAAAAGCTCAACAGAAAGAATGGTACTCTGTCCCCATCATCAGTGATTCACAGCATCCTCATGGGGCTGCATGCAAACAGATGTGGCTGAGGCTGGGAAGTGTGGCTATTCCTTCCAGTTTTGCCCATGTCCCCACTGTTAGCCTTCATCTGTAATAATCAATAACAATGGAGTGTGCACTCTAATGTGAACCAGCTAAATGGTTTGCCCAAGGGAGTTAATTGACAAGAGGGGCAAACTGTTATAATTGCCAGGTGTTTGCTCGGTGAGACATTGGTGTCCAAGGTTGAGGGAGGACCAGATAGGCTCTTGGTATGCAGAAGGGAGAGATACTGTAAATTAGACCCAAGGACTGGACAATTCACACTCCCCAGGACAGGACAGGAGATTGGGGCACTAAGCACAAATGGTCCTCACCCGGGATCTATCATGCACTGTCACCCCATGAGTTATCTGACTGGGGCTGGGGAAATGAAAGATGAGAACCTGAAGGGGCTTGGGGTATCTCTTCTAGGAGAGGTTCCATTCTTGCAGCCAGACTCGTTGCTTAAGAACGCTGTGCTGCCCTGTGTCATTGATCTCTGCAACCGGTATAGTATCTATATGCATAGCTAGGCTAGGTGAAGCTTTGTTATTTTGTCCAAGGAGGACACCCAGGTCTGGGGCCTTGAGGTATCTGACTGGTTGTAAAGTGTATCAGTGTTGCTCTCCAAATCCCTTCCCCCACCCCACTTTTTGCGTGGATCCTGTGCCTTGTGTGTTTTAGCTATTTTACTATCCTCCAGCCCTATCTTTTAACCTTTTATCAATTCCTTTTCCCCAACATGTGGGCTGCCATGTGCTGAATCCAGTGTCTGGTCTGAGGTTCAGGATCAGAGAGGCCTGGACAAAGTTACAAGCCAGTTGGCCATGGGAGTGGGGAATCCTGGCTGCTAGAATGCTACATATGCCACATGTTCTCCAGTGCTGAGATGGGGAAGAGCAGAGAGGATCTCCATCGTTCTCTGTAATCACAAGTTCCTCTGGGAGAAGGAAGCCCACCATCTAGAGGAATTCAAGGAGGCTCTGGAGGCTGGATGGGGATCCTCTGGGGGTCTAATTAGTCCCGTAGGCAGAACATGTCACCCCACACTACTGTAACATTCTTCAGAAGCAGATGTTGATTAGGGCAGTTGCAGTTGCTGTTTTAACAGCTACAACCGAGATACTAATTTAAGCTATGTTCAGTCTTATTTACCATTATTATGTTTATATATACATCCATTAACTTCAGCGTAGAAATAGAACCACAGTATTTTAGAACCGTCTCTGCACACCAGTGAAGTTCAAGGTGATATTTAGCCAAGACATTTAGCCACCTAAGCAACAAATTCAAATGCCTTTCTTCCAGCTCTGCTCTGCTCCAGATGAGCAGCAAGTGGTAAATAGTAAAGAAATTTAACCATACCATAACAGAATCCAGTTTTTGTTTGACTTTTTGCATCCTCACAGATACCCTTGCAACATTTGCAAACTGGTCAGCAGGAGACATTATTGAATCTTTCTGTACAGAGATATCAGCAGAACCGTTAAGAATCTTTGGACCTCTGGATGACATGGATAACTGTTCAGCTTCCTGCTGGGCAACTGCAGAGACAAACATTTGAACAACATTAAGTTGATTCTTTTGTAGGAACTTGCCAAGAAACTTGGTTGAGATTATTCACAAGCAACAATGGCAAATCATGGAAGAATGAATCATGGGTAAACTGTGGGTTGTTATGGAGCAGCCATAAATCAGGCTGATTAGATGTGGTATACATGAAATAGTACTGGCATATGGCACAGCATACTGGAAGTTCTTTAACCCACAATTCACCCCGTAGCATGTGAACCTGGTCTAATATAATTATTCTCATCATCATTATTATTCTGTACAACACCATAGCCAAAACTCTCTAGACAGTTTATGAAAACTAGGTTTGGAATCATGCACTCCTCCCTCAGCTGCAATGAGTTCAAAAGCTCTTGCTTCTAGAATTAAACTAACTACAGTATTTCAATAATTTAAACAGCACTTTCTGATCCTGGTTTGTTCCAATAAATTGCAGTTTAAACTATACTCAGTGTCATGAGCCAACGTTTCTCCCTCAACAATCGCCAGCCACAGGAGGTATTTTCTGAAGGCAAGCACATCTCCTCTCCACACGCAGTTCCCATCTCTGCTGAAGCCTCACCATGGTGTCAGGAGGAGAATTCCTCATCTGCAGAGACCCTTCCCACTGGCTGTACATTTTCGTCATTTTCAGGAACTGCCTGGCTCACCAGTATGTGGGGCCTTGCAATAATCACCTCCGTTTCTTGCATTTCAGAATCTTGACCTAGCTCACCCTCCCCAATCTCACTGAAATATGTTTCACTTTCCAATTCTGAGTCATCTGGAATGCCGCAAGCAGTCCATGGGAACAACTGCCCAAGACTGCCATCCTTCTGAATCCCAACACTCAGTTCCTTATTTGACATAACAAAACTGTAGTTAATTTAAACCAAGAACCGGATATTTTCTATTTCCATCTCTGGTGGATATCAGAGGCAAATAGCTTCTTTTCACATTCCAATACATATTTTAAATAACAAGAAAGAAAACAATTTCAAAAACAGAACAGCAAGTGTGGGGTAGTGGTGAAGAGTATGGCAATGGAACTCAGGAGATCTGGGTTCTACTCACCACTCAGCCAGGGAGCTACTTTGCTGACTTTAGACCAGTCACAGACTCTCAGCCCAACCTACCCCATAAGGTTGTACTTGTGGGGATAAGACTGAGAAGAGGAGGATAACTGTGCAAGCTACCTTGAGTAACTTGAAAGAAAAAAAGGTGGGACATAAATCTAATCAATAAATTCTGAATGAATCCCCCACATTGGTAATATACTCACCCACCTTTAGCAATTTGCTTTAAAAAGTATGTTTTTCTCCAATAACCCTTCTCCACCACCAGGGGCTGTTGAGAAAGATATAATAACCTCTCTCACCCTTTCTCTGTTCTTACTAGCTACAGCTAAAACTGCTCTGATGTTTTCCTGGCATTAAACTGATTTGGACAATCCATACTATTTTAAAAAAATATTTCTGAAACGACTGAAAAAGCAGTACACTCCAAAAAGGTATATGCAACTTGCAATGATTACATGCCTAGTCTTGCCAAGAAGAGTTCAGCAGAACAGGTGAGAGAAAATGCTTCTGGCAAGACCCTTGTGAAAAGCCTATTAGGCTCTTCTTAGTAAACTACACACATAAGGCTGGCTGCCAGATTCTACTAATTGATGGTCCATTTCCTGTTAATTATCGGGCTGTTTCTTTTGGCTTCCAAGGCCTGTGCTTGATATCAAGTGGAGTCTTACAATTTCAAGTGACTTCCCAGTTTGCTGCAACTGTAATGGTCAGCATCTCGGTTGAAACTGAGTGAAGAGAGCAAACAGCAGAGAAAAGGAAGGGATTGTAAAATGCTAAAAGATTTCTGCAGGGAAAGGGAGGGTTATAAAGTTTTATTCTTAAAACATTCCAACTGCTCCCAAGGCTAACTTTAGGTATATGCTACATCGGTAGAGACAGGGCTCTACAGCTTCTTTGCTTTTGTGAGGAGAGCAAAGTGCCAGTAGTCTCCTCTCCTTTGCCAGCCCAAGGGAGAAAAGCATCTCCCCACTAAAGCAAAGGACACACCTTTCTTGCTGGAAAGGTGGAGATGAGGGAAGACGTTTTGGTTTGCACCAATGCTCATGTAAGCAGCCCTTGCTCCTCTGATGGACAGTGTCTGGGAAAACTCCCCTCCCATTTTGCTTCCAGCAATGAAGAGATGTGGAAAAGACTGTAAACACCCTTGGCAGTGAGGCTCTGAGCTGAACCATGGAGCAACAGCTCATCTGCCACGCTCAAATCTCTTGTGCAAAAGTGAAGTTGGAGCATATGGGCTTCAGCGGATGCTGGTCAGTGGTACTCAGAACAGCTCCCTCCCCTGGGTAGTCATCACCATCTTCTCTTTGCCCCACAGCAGGAATGGGTGGGTGGGAGCCTGCTGGTTTGAGCCTGCATCATCATGATAACTTCCCCCTCACATTCTTCTCCCAATCCTGGGGCTGGAGAGGGGACAAAAGTCACTGCAAAGCTGTTGGGATGAACCTGTCTGCCTCTGCAGCTTCAAAGGAAAGGTCATCATTCACTCACTTGTGAAAAAGCAGCAGCACCACTCTTAACAAGGTCAGTGTAATTGTTGATGACTGGATATACAAATGGATACAAACACTCATCAAGTACCTTTGTAATCGTAAATGTATACAAGTATTGGCTGGTTTTGTCCAAAGGCACAGAATGACACCATATGTTCATGTGGATGAAAGGCAACATCACGAAGTGGAGATGTGAAGGAAAGATCAGAATACGTGGCTACTTGATCACCTACAAAAAATGAGTGACAGAAGGCACTTTGTTTAAACAGTCGTATCTACTTTGTGCAGTATGGGCAGTTTATGAGCAACCCACTCAAATGGATCTCATGACCAAAGAACCATCTCAAACTTGCCATATGAGAAGTACAGACAAACAACATGACCTTAAGGTATTTAGTTGTTTCTCTCTTCTTTTTAAGAACTTGAGAATGATTATTTCACAACAATTTTGCCTGCTTATCTATTTTACTGATTTTTATGACATATGAGGGGCATTCAATGTATTCTCGGTATCGGGTTGAATTGCTATTGATGTGGGTAATTTAATTATTTCATTACTATTTGAGGGTATACATGCAACATTTCAAATAAGTGTGATCATTAGTTCCCTAGTCATCCTCAGTAAAAGACGATCATAATGAGTGACGCAACAATGTTGAAGAAAATGGAGCACTGTGCTGTGATTAAGTTCCTTACAAAACAAGGAAAAAGTCAAAAAATCATTCATGAAGAGATGGTGGCCATTTACCAGGACTCTGCACCTTCATTATCTACTGTTCAAAAGTGGTCAAGTGAATTTCAAAGGGGCAGAGAAGGCATTGAAGATGACCCTCACTTGGGCGGGCCAGATACTGCCACTACGAAAGAAAATGTGAAAAAAATTGAGAAGCTTGTATTGGAAGATGCCCGAATAAAAATCTCTGTTAGCAGAGATGACAAACCTATCCGTTGGTACCATATTTACTAGTTTTCATGACCATCTTAACCTTTCAAAGGTCTGTGCAAGATGGGTGCCGCAAATGCTCATGGCGCCTCAGAAACAAGTGTGAGTTGAGTGCTGTAGGGAGTTTTTAGAGCTCTGTGGTGAAGATCCACCAAGTATTTTCAACCAGATTGTTACTGAAGATGAAACGGGTTCATCACTATCACCCTGATAGTAAGCAGGAGTCCATGCAGTGACATAAAAAAGGTGCTGACCCTCTGAAGAAATTTAGTCACTCTATCAGCTGGAAAAATCATGGCCAGTGTTTTGGGACTCAAAGGGAATTTTATTGATTGAGTACATGAAAAAAGGGGAAACCATAATCGCAGCATCTTACGCAACCACTCTGTGTAATTTAAGAGAAGCAATTAAAGAAAAAAGGCGGGGAAAACTGACCGCAGGTGTGTTGCTTCTTCATGACAACGCACCCGTTCACATGGCGTGTGTTTCGAAGACTGCTGTGCAGGACTGTGGTTTCAAAGAAATAAACCACCCACCCTATAGCCCAGACCTGGCCCTCAGTGACTACTACCTATTCCCGAATTTAAACAAAGATCTTCGTGGAAAGCAATTTTCCGACGATGAAGAGCTCAAGGCGGCAATTAACGCACAATTTTTAGACAAGGAGGAAGAGTATTTTTTACAGGGAATTGAAAAGTTAGTTTCTAGATGTAATAAGTGTATTGAAGTTATGGGGGATTACATTGAAAAATAAAAATTATTTCCATTTATTATTCCTTTTTCTTCATGCTGATACCAAGAATACATTGAATGCCCCTCGTATAAGCATGTAAAATGCAACATTTAGATTAAATGAAATATATTCAGTTAGTGTACATTTTTAACTATATTGAAGAACATTGTAAAAGGGCTATACCAGTGCAAGAGTTTAAACCCTCTATCTTCAGCTCAAAAATGACAGTAAGATGGGAAGATCTGAGACTTCAAGAGATCTTCTGCCAGAAAGAGTAAGCAATACCAGGCTTAATATATAGCCTGATGCAGTATCAAGGAAGCATCAAAGGCTTATCTGCATCAGCCCCAAAGGCTAAGGCAAAATAAGGCTATGCAAGACAACATAAAAAGGGCCTGCAATGAACTATTTTAATATATTTCCCACTCAAACCCACTACAGAAGTTCTCCTGTGAAGAGTTCCAATCATCCTGGATAGAACTGTTGAAGCACCATTCAGGCAGTGGGTGGGAGAAAAGGACACTCACTCACTCAGGCCTGAAAGGCTGTCTAAAGTGGCAGACTGCAAACAAAATGCAGTGGCCCAGTGAGGCTCCCACTGCTCTCAAAAAATCAGGGGATAGCGGGATCGGAACGACGACACCAAAACTCATTAGCAAAGCCCACTACAAGCTAAGCCTCTAAAGCAGCGTGCCAATCGATTTCCCTCCCCTGCCCTCCCCTCCTAGTGGTGAGCAACACTGTCATGAGTTGCCTTTGCTTTGCTCTGAAGGGTTCAGGATGGGGCCAGCAGGCAGATCTGAACCTACACAGTTTTATTGTTATACAGTGGAAATGGTTCTGGAGTGTGGGACAGAAAAGGGTACTTTAATTCCTTGCTTTCCTGCTTAAAGATCCCTGTATAGCATGGAAAGTGGATTTTTTTAACCTCATGTCATACATTTCCTTAAATTTAAAGCCTTAAATGTCCTTCCCCAGGACATCTTCTATACATAGCTAAGGGCCTGAGTAGACCCTTCCTCCCTCCTTCCCTCCAGGTTCTCACTGCTCACCACATGATTTCTTAATATTCCATAGGCTCCAAAGCTGCTTGCCTGGCTGCTTTTAATATTTTCATTTAATTTACGAACATATATATGCCTGCATATCTAGGGTATCTCCAAAATCTCTATATTTCATTTTTAGGTGCCCCTGTTTTAGTGTCACATTAACAGAAATTCAACACTCTGAGTTTACTCTGCAAAATATGGAATGTATGAATATTCGTTAGTGTTATGTCTGCAATTTTTCAATGAACTTGCCTCTCTATTGCCTTCTACCTTTTGATGTTTCTTTCAGTAAAGTATGTGCATTACCTCCAAACAGTAATACCATTTCTATATTGCTCTAGTAAATACTAACTGAAACGATAACATTTTATTAGTCCATACTTTTACCTTTAATTTCTAAGCTTCTGGTTAAAGCTAATTTAAGGAACTGTAAGCATACAAATCATTGCTGTAATGCCATTACTACTGAGTCTAAACTTACCCCACTATGCTTTTTCAGAGGTGCAATATTTGCAAAAATAATATGCATACAGAAACTGCTTACCCACTTTCCCAAGTAGCAACCCCAATGTTAAAGAAGTAACTATTAATATACTTGCAGATTTTTATTAAGACCAAATGCAAGGGATTTATGGAGTTTTAAAGTGGAAGAAGTTGGTGAGAGAGAAAGGATCTTTCTGTGTTAAGGAAAGCTCACAGGCATACTTGCAATTACTTGGGAATATATTAGTCTGAATTGGGCAGTATGCTGAGGAAGTTGCAACAATTCCTGTAGTTACTGCAACTGAAAACTACTGCTATGATCTTGCAAATTCCTAATAAATTTATACCTGCACAGCAACAGTTCCACTAACGCTTTCCCCAATGTGATCACAAGCACCAAGAAGCAGCTAGTTGGATGTATGAAAACTGCACTATCCCGCTGTTTTTCAGAAGTAAGCCTAGCTGTGTGAACCAACTCTAGGAAATGAGGACATTTAAAGAAAAATTACAGATTTAAAATGCACAGGGTTGGTAGGGATTAGTACAAAATTTTGTACTAATCTGGATTTTAGCAGAGCATAGTTTGTCCCATTCAGACGAAACAATTATTTGTGGTTCATAAAGAAACAAGAATGAAATGTAGAAATTGCACTGCACAAGAGGCAGGGGGAAGATTTATTAAGTATGGCACTGGGGAATTACGCATATTTAGTCTAGGTATCACTGACATCATATACTACAAGACCCAGCATTTTTTATATTTGCTCATAGCATGAATATAGGCTATTGATCATTAATTACATAATTAGATAAATACCAGATTATTTTAATATTTTGCTAACTCAAAAAAACTGAGCTAGTTTGTCTCGCAATTGTGTCTAGAAATATAGTTCTACAATCCTGATACCCCAGTTTTTCAATGCTCTTTGCATGGGCACATGGATTAGGCTTCCCCTTATCATTTTTAAAGGGGGTCAGAACTGTGTGTTCAAACAGATATACTTAGACTTTATATAGATAATATAATCAGCTGGTTTTGAACCACTAATATTCAGCTTTGCACATCGGCACCCCCAGCAGTGAATTACTGCTGGTTACAAAATGAAGGACAAGAGCAAGTGGTATTCTGTTCCGCCAACTCAGGAAGCTTAGTGATCCATTCTCATTGACCTAGCTATAAGTTCTTCCACACTCAGCTTGGCTCTTTGCATAAGCAAGAGTTTGGCCATGCCCAACTGGCTTTCAATTGTTTTGCTGAATTTGGCTCGTACAACATCCATGTCTGTCCTCCTGCATTCTGGTTTTAGCTTGTTCCGGAGGATCTCACATCACTGATCCTGGGCAGTGAATCTTTTTGCATTAGCTTTACTGTGAAATTTTCTAACATTCTGGAAAGCTGCTTTTGGGATTCCCTGTAGCAGTGAAGGCCCCCTCCTGCATGATATAGTGTGCTCATTCTTGGCTGTGTTCAGACCCATGTCAGTTACTTGCGAATGTATCTCTGCCATAACCTCCACTGTTCCCTGCATCTTCCTTTGCTGCTAAGATTAAGAGCTACTCAGTTGGAGTTTTCTTTGACTGCTAGCTCCTGTTTCATTCCCCCAGAAACTGGCTACATTCCTGTGATCTCATCTGAAAGGGGACAGAATCTTGAGTCAGTGCTATTCCCAAACTGAAGAGCAGTATATCTGTAGTGAATTACTAAAGCTTCATATAGAGACACAGATGGGGCCTGATTCTCAAAGAATGTTATAATGCCTGACTTATTTTCTAAAAAGGCCTCCCTACATTCATAAATAAGGCTAGTTATATTTTAATCTTTAAGTAGAACTACAGCCCTGGCTCTAATTTCACCAAAACACAAATAATCTACGCAAATAATATCCTTCGGCCTTAAATGTTCCTGTAACAAATATTTAAGGTATGTGAGAGGAGAGATATGCATCCTGGTTATGCAAGAAAACCCTTAAGCTTAGGTTAATGAGTGAATACTACCATATTTTTCCGTGTATAAGATGCTACTTTTTCTTAAAAACATTTACTTAAAAATGAAGATGCGTCTTATACACGGGGAGTGGGTGCACATGGATGCGCTGGGGGAGACTGGTGTGCATGGGGGGCGGCGAGGCGGCTATGCGCGCACAGCAGCAGCTTGTTCACTGGAGATGGGTAGGAAAAGTGGGCGACGTCCTGTAAATGGGGGCGTCTTATAGATGGAAAAATACGGTAATTTTTGTGGAAACACCACCAAATTCCAAATTTTTCAAATAATGACTGTGAGGAAACTCACCCAGCCTATTAACACTGGAATGAGTAAATGTGTCTTCAAGTTCTGTGGAAGGTTTTATCAAACAACTCCTACCCCCCACCCCCAACCCCGACACACACGCGCATGCACACACAGGGTGAGGGGGGGAGAGAGAAAGACAGCTCCTGGAAGTTAAATTTGCACTAAGGTTAGCTGAAAAGCCCTTTTGAAAATGAGTTCAACAGGCTGTAAATGGAAAAAAAGAATACATTTCCCATAGTGAAAAAAATGAACTTGTGTACCTGTTTCTGGATTCCAGACATATGCTACACCATCTTCACTTCCAGAAAAAAGGAACGTTCCACATGGTGTCAAAGTACTGCGAATTTTTTCCCGATAGTTTGTAGCACCTATGCATTTCTTCGTAGCCAAGCTAAAAAGCAGGAGGGAAAGTAGATTTATGACATATTTAATACTTCATGTGCTCTGCTTTTAAGTATATGAACAGGCTACCCAAAGTAATGTTATTGGCTGCATTTCACTTTAAGGTAAGTTTTCACTCCTGGGTGTGGTAAGAGAGCAATCTCAGACCTCTGGAATAATCCTCAGAATCACAAGGGTTGGAGCACAACCTATCGGGAAGCACCAGTCCAGGGAGGATTTCAGTCTGAAATGATTATAAGTAACAACTTCTAGTAAACCCTAGAACCTAAAAAAAAATATTCAGCTAAAGGGGAAAACAGATGTGAAGGTAGAACACCTAGGTATGTGATACAGTAACAGGTCATACACAGGACTCAAACTCTTTCTTCTAAAGTCAAAGAAAACTATGAAGAGTGAAGGTGGGGCCAACTGCCCTCCTGTCCCATCATGGAATGATTATCCATGGTAAAGTGCATGTATGACCTAGGAGCACGTCCTTGTCATCCAAGGATTCCAAAAGCAGTATGCTTTCTGGGCAGCACTACTCCTATCTGCTCTTTCCCCCTATAGATGAGTTAGGATCATTATTTCAAGCTAAGGGTCTCCCAACACTTGGACAATCAGGATTGTTATTCTGTGGGTCTATTATTCTAGTGGTACTCAATCCCTGTTTGGCTATCTGCAATAATTTGCAAATGCAGGATTATTTGTGAAGGCAGGACAAAGCTCTTTTTCCCTCCTTCACCAGAAACCCATGGCTCAGGGAAGCTGAAGCTATCATTAGCAAAATCCTTTCATCCTTTTGGTGCTGTAGTGATTTTTTAAAAATGAATTAGCAGGAAGGTAGGAACCATGAGCCCTTAAGCATTCTCACTGAAGGTAGGGGCAGTCAGCAGGGATGGGCAAGTATGCTTCTGCGATGTCAATGGAGAACAGGAATCTCCAGCTGCCTATACCTATGCTTTTAAAAAGAACTTCCACAAGGAATTTCTGCTTTTTGTACAACTGCTTAATCATCTGACTTCTAGGTTTGCCCCAGTGTCCCCTTTTTTCCTAGCAAGCATGACAATCAATCAATCAATCAATCAATCAAATGCTTTTAAAGACATATGGGACAGGAAAATTGGTGCATACTATGAAGGCTTTTCTTGTTAGTTTGCAGAGATTTTCCTGAATCAGGGAATATTGCTAATGAAGTTTTAAGACTTTTGTCTCCTTAATGGGTTCCTTCCTAGTTCTGAAACATCGCCAAGCTTAAGATCAAAAACTAACTTTAATGGACAGGTGATTAAGGAGACAGATTCCTTAGGGAATGTCTGACACCTTATTAAGTTGCACAGATGTCTGTGTGTAAATTAGGTAACTGTTCAAGAGAGGAAGAGTCACTGAATGCAAGTCAAAATGAGCCTTATAGACACTGTACATCAATTAAAAAACCTACACAAAAGTGTCCATGTTCCTCTCTTGCTGTTGTGAAGTGAAAAAGGAAGTGTCACAACCTATGTGGGATGTATGGTTTTTCTTTTATTGATGCAGTACATTTTAGCACTCCTCCAAAATGCTGCCTCTGCAAGAAGCTAAGTGTAACTTTATTGCATTTCCATACCATCCAATAGCTAAAGTGTCTGATTTGCTCACAACATAATGAAATACAATATAGTACCTTAAAACTATTTTAAAATAGAATAAAAGCAAAACACACTTCAGCAGGAAGAAAAGGTCTAAAATCACAATGCCACATTTAAAAATCAAGTGATGGACTAAAAAGGCTGGGAAAATAACAAGCCTTTCACTAACAAGAAATGACAGCTTGATCCTTGAAAATAGCTTCTCAAGCTATTAGGAAGGGTTAAATGAAGGTGGAGACCCTTTGGCAACAAGAATAGAGAATGGCAATAGTCTTTCTCTAGCTTTTAGTTGTTGAAAAGGAAGTACTGAGTGGCTACCAGAACAGTGAGCCTCCCAGTTTACACTTGAAATTTGGATCTATCACTCAAGTTCTAAACTTTGGGTTCCAGTTCATCACTACACTGGAGGCCAGTGCCTCTGTCCAAACTGCATGGTAACCTGGGATGAATGTGCAAGGCAAACTTGCATAAATGCCTGTCTCCATATGTCCCTTTTTGACCACTAAGATCTTCAAGGGAGGTCCCCAAATGAAGTGAGGGGAGAAATGGCTCTGAGCAGGGCCTTCTCTGTGATCGCACCTCACCCTACCAAGAAGGCATCCCTGGCACCACTGCTGCTCTCCTTTCAGCACCAGATAAAAGCATATTTATTTAACAGGTACTGTTTTCTCTTAATTTTATTGCTGTGATGTGACTATTAGCTTAATGCTTAATGTGACAATTAGCTGTTTGTTCGAGTTTGTATTTTTAATAGATACTATGTTTTTAATTGTTCTATTGGTTTTACTGCCTTTCTATTCTTGTTTTATTACTGTTCTATTCTAAGTTGCTCAGAGAGCCCTTGGACTATGAGGCAGTATACAAATGTGATAAATAAATAAACAAATAGATTTTAAGGACCCGAGATTCTAAGGAAGCCAAAAAGGCAAGGTAAATACAGCCTGAAAAAAGTTAGTGGCTGAAGCTATGAAATTAGAGGAATATTCTTGGTGAAGAGATTCTCATTAAAATCCTTGGGAAAATTCTTATCTACTGGATGGACATGGGAAGAAGACTGATCTGCTACCAGATCACCATCTTCTGAGGCCTGCAGTCAAAATGCCTCGTTAGAATGTTTAGAATTTGTGAAAACAGCTAAGGAGAGCTTACCTTTAGCCAGCTGGTCTTGAAAAACTTCAAAGTCTCAAAAGACTTTTACCCTGAACAGAAATGTACCATTCCCTCAACAAAAACAGGAAAAGGGATGCTTGAAATAAAAAAATGCTTGGCTTAGGCGCCACACAAAATGGGCCAGAGGGGACCATGCCTACTAGTTTATGGGACAGAACTGATCTCTTCCTCCTTTGGATAAGCTTCTGTTCTAGATTAGTTATTCTCCCGAAAAGAAAGTATTCTGAAGGTCCAAAATGCACTCCTACAACTTCCAGAAATAACTGGGCAATTTAGGTTGTTTTTAAGTGTGTAACAATAAAACAGTGAAGCTAAGTATTAATGTAATGCTTTAAGACAGGATACTGGATGTAAGCTACTTGGAGATACTTACATTCGGAGATCCATAATTCTCACGGTACTATCTTTTGTATGTATCAATAACCGTCTTCCATTTGGATGTACCTCCAAATGATTGATTGCTGCCCCTTTGATATCATCATCTTTTATTTCCTTCAAAAAGGCAGAGTTGGTGAAAACATCGATACAACACAGTACACTTACAAGAGCATAAGAGCAGCTATACTGGATTAGATCAAGGCTATCTAATCTGGCACCCTACAAGGAGAGTATAAGCATGACATGAGCACAGTATCCCTCCTGCTGCTATTCCCCAGGAACTTGTACACAGAAGCACACTGCTGCTGATGCCAGAGGTAGCATATCACCATTGTGACTCGCAGCCACTGAAATCCTTATCCTCTACAGAACTGGAATTTGTCTAATCTCCATTTAACATCATTTAAACTGATGTCCCTCACCACATCTTGTGGCAATTAATCCTGAAAAATGTGCTTTTGCCCATTTCACTATTCAGATAACAATAGGCTGCAGCATAATGAGAGATGGGCAGAAAGCTCCCTCATACACTTTTTCCACACATACTTTTATGAACTGCAAGCTGTAGTTCTGCAATGGAGGCTTGCTTTAATCCCTGGCATATGCTAGGGGATATTTCCTTAACCACCAGTCCAAAAAGGGCTTGATGTATCATTCAAACCTGAATAGCATGGTTTATTTAAATAGCCCTTAAATAATGATACAAAAGGGTTGGACTATTGCAGTGAGCTGTATGTGGGACTGCACTGAAGGAAGTTTGGAACCTTCAGCTTGTATTAGACACAAGAAATCCATCTGATCTGTTTCTGTTGTTGCAAAAGAATATGAAAGTTGCTACATTACTCAACTATTGGGTTATTTACAAGTCTTTACTGAATTCTATGTAACTGCTTTTGATAGAAAATAAATGCAAAGCATTCCTGCATACAGCAACAAACTTACTAAATCAATTTTTTTTTTCATTCTTCTTTACTTTCTTTTACTGCTTTGGGTGTTGAGGGAGATACATTTATACATACATACATACATATATATTTATTTAATAGAAATTTATTTTAATTAAAATGTCTTAGAATGTATTACCTCCATAAAAGATAATATATACATTTATATACCTTATCAATGCCCCAGTGTTGGATTGGTGATGGAGAACTTTCTTTAACAGAAGTATTCCAGACAATTATTAGCCCTGTGCTATCTCCAGAAAACATGTGAGATCCTAGAAAAGACGAGTTGGTTCACTTAAGGGGGTGAAAGTTTAGATATCCACATCACACATGTAATTATCATACTATAACAATACTTCTAAAAGAAAAAAAACACTAACCAAATTCCACTGTCCTTCTAATTTTGTTTTTCCAAGCCTATTTCCCACCAGAATAGCTTGGGTAGGGAATGACATTTGAAGATGGGAGAGAGACAAGAAAAAGATCACAATCCAGGGAATTATTTGCACAACTATGGGATGACAGAGCAAAGTCTTCACTTAAAAGCCAGCTCCACCCTTAACACCCCGCTTCTTTCTTCTGGCTGTTGGAACTGCTGGAGTGTCTCCATATCAGTCAGAAAAGATGAAAAGGATCATGAGGGAAGTACTAGCTATCTTTCCCCACTCCCTTTGGGTCTGGTTTGGAAGACAGGGTGATCCAGGCTTTTTAGAGGGCAGTCACCCACTGCACTGCATTCTTTTAGGCTCCATCCAGGTTTGGTGGTGCTGGTCCCTTCCCAAATGTTGGTCTTCAGTGGGTGGGGGGAGAACATGGGGCTTCTTATGGAGAAGACACTCATTTGGCATGTGAGAATTAATTTGGAGATGATATGGAAGAAGTGGTCTGATTCATGAATCCTTTGATCTAAATGCCCCCACAGAGGTTCTGGAAGGAGGATGGGGACTGTCAGATTAAAGAGGGAAAGAAAGAGAGTAAATAGGGAGAGTTCTGTGACCTTACAGGATAGATAAGGAGGAGTGCTCCTGCAACCTTCTTCGATCTAGGGCTGTGCTGTATGGGTCCATTCACCTGGACCCGTACAGCACTGGCATTCATCTATCTGATACAGAGAACAATGCCTTCTTGATGGCTTCTTGCAGGTTCTGCATGGGGGCAGGGGGGGTATTCATTCTTGGCCAATGGGGCTGAGAGGCCAAATGTGAGGTTTGGTCTCCTCCATGGGCAGGGCAATTTCAGAGGCAAGGTTCTTGTGAGCTGTGAGACCCACAACTTGGGATACAGCTTGCTTTTGGAACCATACCATCTCTCGTACTTGGGGTTGTGCAACACTGAGTGGGGCAACACAGGGAAGTGCCTTCTTACACTCATGTGTAGCCTGAGGAAAAAAATGGGTGGGAGAATAACCTACCTCCTTGCCTGGGCAGAATGGCTCACCCATAATGCAGCATAGCTGCCTGCAGAGAAAATGTCGTATTTCCACAATTCACACTTGCAGTTCCTGGGGTGAAGTGCATTACCCTAGCTGTATCACAGCTTTGGTGTTCATGCCTTTATTTTCTGCCTTCTCTTTCCTGCAGCAAATGCCCCTTCTCCATTCATTTGGAGACTTAACTCCAGTTCCTTCTCAGATTAACTCAGACTTAAGTCACCAGCATCACCTTCTGATTCTACATTCTCCAGGTACACTTACCGTGGTTTATGGCACACTGTATATCAGTGTTTGCCATGGTATTCTTATATTATATCCATTTCTCCTACAATACACTTGCAAAGTGTTAACTCTCAGACACAAGGAAAAAGTCACTCCACATCTCAGAGTTATTGTGCACAGCCTCACAGAGTTACTGTAAGGATGAAGTGAAATACACAATTACACACAGCATTTTGTGTGAAATGCTTCACATTCAACTTACCTTCTGCATCAAAACACAATGTATTGATAAAACTTCTGTGACCATCAAACTCTTGTAAAAGCTGCCCATGAATTTCCTTCACTTTTGCATTCCACACTCTTATCACAGAGTCATAACATCCTGTCACTATGATATACTCAGCTACTGGGTGGTATTTAGCACTATATACAAATGAAGGATGAGGGAAAACTTTCCTGGCTGATGTAGCCTGGGCTTCTATTTTCCACATTCTAGAAGAAGAAGAAAAAAAAACATTTAGGAAACCCGTGTTACCTTGTGAATGTCTTCTCTGCAAATCCAATATGCAATTTCAAAACCATCATACAAAAAACAAAAGTTTGTGCTATCAGGAACTGCTTTCAGACTAGCTAGATCTCATTTCTTCACTGTGTTACAGGGTAAATCAAACCTGAATTAAAAAAAGTACAAACCATTTAAAATTGTAAAGTACGAAATTCCTCTTTAGCATAAAAACAAGTTATAATTAAAGCTCACAATAAACATGCAAACCTACATATAAAAATGGAATTATCTACCCATCAAATATGGCCTTTCATTTGTTATTTTTGTTACATGAAAATGGCTCTCCTCAGCCTGACTACTGACATTTGCTTCTTCAAAGCTCTGGGCTTTCAGCTTCTTTGACTAAAGTCACATATGCACAGGCTACTTAGCATTGTGTAGTATAGGCAGGATCAACTTGATTAAGAAGGAGAGGACTTGATTAAAATGAAACAAATTTTAGGTGGGTGGATAAAAACTGACACTTTTTAAAAAACAAAAAATGAGTTAAAAATGCTTTTTCCCAGCACAGTAAATATTAATCCCTGTTTTGCCTATCAGTCATGGGTATTTGATTTTTATTACCATTTTGTTTTTTGTAAGGGCAAAACTCGGACCAAGCAGAACAAAGTGGAAAATAGAAACAATGGAAAGATAAGGTAAGAGAAAACTGACCAGTGTGACCCTTCTTGTATATTTATACTAAAGCAGCAATTTTATACGTTCTTATGTGGGACTTAAGACTCACTGGATATAATTACAAGGAGACACAGGATTGTGTCTCAATATAAACTGATAAAGTGTAATTGATGCAACTGCTTCTGTGTGGAAGTGCAAGAAAAAGCTAACCATTTATTAAGTGGGGGCAAAGACATAAGGCTAATAGTCAAAGGGTATAAAGAGGCCAAATATATGGAATGGGCTCCCTATGATGCTCTTTGTGCTCATTTCTTTGTGTGCCCCTGAATAGCCAGCCACAAAGGAATTGGAAACTAAAGTACAGGGCAGCTGCCAGGCACAATGCCCCTTCTCACACAGGTTTGGGTGTGCATGAGGGAGTCAAAGAGTGTATGAGTGAGCATGTATTTGAGAATGGGTGTGTATGAGAGAAAACAGGATTCAGCAAGTGAGGAGAAGAGTAAGAGCAAGCACAGAGCAATAAACAGGACCGCATCCTATGTTAACACCCGCTGTCTTTCCACAGCCTTCTCTCTTGCAGCAGATGAAGGACTTTGTGACTAGAAAGTGACCAGGTTCAGACAATACAAGAACCCAAATTTCAACAACCCATGCTCAAACCTTTGGGTTATCATGCTGTCTGAACCCAGTCTGAGTTTAAAGGGTAAGAGACCTTCAGAGCTGCTCCTGTTTGTGCAATCAGTACTTCCAGCAGAGCCAAAGCTGCTATCAGGAGTGAGGTGCAGCAGATCAGACAGGGAACTGGGATTTATTGTTATTCCCTTGATGGCAATAATATTAAGACAGGAGAGGGAAAGAAACAAAATGCTAGCTGGGTTCCTATATTTAAAAAGTTTTTTCCTTAATAAAATTTAATTTTAAATCAACAAATACACTTTTATGTTATAATTTCTAAGGCTTCAAATACTTTCTCAGAATCTACTTCCAAGTAAAATTACATTAGGTTCTTGTCTATTGGAACAGATATTGCAGCACTGTTATAAATACAGAAGTTTAATAAATGTCACGCAAAAACACAGTTTTAATCTCCTGGCTCTGCCTAGGTATGACTACTCCTCTATGCAAGTCCCATTAACATTAATTGCATGCTCTTCTTCAGCTCCCATTCAAAATGTGAAGGTTGTGTAGTTCTCAGTGGACTTCATCCCAAGATGACTGCAGAGCCAAACTTGTTTTCACTGTACTAACAAGGTGTTAGAAATAACAAGCCAAAAAGATGTTTGTACAACATGGTTTAGCAAGTTCATGCATTTATGTATAAATCCAACCCTTCTGGGTCCAGATTGCTGAATACCATTGCCAGCTAGTTGAGAGATGCCCAAAACCTGTATTCAGAGAACCTATGGGTATGATTCTTTTCTAGAAATAAGCTTTAACCATGTACTTTCCAAGGAAATAATATACTACATTTGTAATATTTATTCCCACATATCAGCAGAACCTCCTTCCTGGATCGCTGCCTTGTCGTGGCGAAGGGGCTTGCGTAGCTCAATGAAGCTATGAGCTATTCCGTGCAGGGCCACCCAAGACAGACAGGTCATAGCAGAGAGCTCTGACAAAATGTGATCCACTGGAGAAGGAAATGGCAACCCACTCCAGTATCTTTGCCATGAAAACCCCATGGACAGTACCAAAAGGCAAAAAGATATGACGCCAGAAGATAAGCCCCTCAGGTCAAAAGGTGTCCAATATGCTACTGGGGAAAAGTAGAGGGCTAGTACTAGTAGTGCCAGAAAGAATGAAGCAACTGGGTCAAAGCCGAAAGGAAACTCAGTTGCTGATGTAGCTGGTGGTGAAAGGAGAGTCCGATGCTGCAAAGATCTATATTCCATAGGAACCTGGAATGTAAGATCCATGAATCAAGGCAAGCTGGATGTGGTCAAACAAGAGATGACAAGACTGAACATCGACATCTTAGGAATCAGTGAACTAATATGGACAGGAATGGGTGAATTTAATTCAGATGACCATCAGGTATACTACTGCGGGCAAGAATCCCTCAGAAGAAAAGGAGTAGCCTTCATAGTCAATAAAAGAGTACGAAAAGCAGTACTGGGATACAATCTCCAAAATGACACAATGATCTCAGTTCGAATCCAAGGAAAACCATTCAACATCACAGTAGTCCAAGTCTATGCCCCAACCACTGGTGCTGAAGAGGCTGAAGCTGACCAGTTCTATGAAGGTCTACAACACCTTCTAGAATTAACACCCAAAAATGATGTCCTTATCATCATGGGAGATTGGAATGCTAAAGTAGGAAGCCAAAAGATAACCGGAGTAACAGGTAAGTTTGGCCTTGGAGTACAAAATGAAGCAGGCCACAGGCTGGTAGAATTTTGTCAAGAGAATACGATGGTCACAGAAAACACTCTTTTCCAGCAGCCCAAGAGATGACTCTACACATGGACATCACCAGACGGTCAACAAAGAAATCAGAATGACTATGTGCTCTGCAGCCAAAGATGGAGAAGCTCTATACAGTCAGTAAAAACTAGACCAGGAGCTGATCATGAGCTTCTCGTTGCAAAATTTAGGCTTAAATTGAAGAAAGCAGGGAAAAGCACTAGGCCACTCAGGTCTGACCTAAATCATATCCCTGATGAATATACAGTAGAGGTGACAAACAGATTTAAGGAATTAGATCTGATAGACAGAGTGCCTGAAGAACTATGGACAGAGGTTCGCAACATTGTACAAGAGGTAGCAACTAAAACTATCCCAAAGAAAAAGAAATGCAAGAAAGCAAAATGGCTGTCTGAGGAAGCACCATTGCACTTATTTCACATGTTAGCAAAGTTATGTTCAAAATCCTACAAGCTAGGCTCCAGCAGTATGTGGACCGAGAACTACCAGAAGTACAGGCAGGATTTCGAAGAGTGAGAGGAACTAGAGATCAAATTGCCAACAAACGCTGGATCATGGAGAAAGCTAGGGAGTTCCAGAAAAACGTCTATTTCTGCTTCATTGACGATGCTAAAGCCTTTGATTGTGTGGATCACAACAAACTGTGGCAAGTTCTTAAAGAGATGAGAGTACCAGACCATCTTATTTGTCTCTTGAGAAACCTATATGTTGGTCAAGAAGCAACAGTGAGAACTGGACACGGAACCACTGATTGGTTCAAAATTGAGAAAGGAGTTTGGCAAGGCTGTATACTGTCGCCCTGCCTATTTAACTTATATGCAGAGCACATCATGAGTAAGGCTAGATGAATCATCCATTGGAATTAAGATTGCTAGGAGAAATATCAACAGCCTCAGATATGCAAATAATACCACTCTCATGGCAGAAAGTGAAGAGGAACTAAAGAGCCTCTTGATGCGGGTGAAGAAGGAGAGCGCAAAAGTTGGCTTGAAATTCAACAGTAAGAAAACTAAGATCATGGCTTCCGGTCCTCTCACTTCCTGGCAAATAGATGGGGAAGAAATGGAGGTAGTCACAGATTTTATTTTCTTGGACTCCAAGATCACCGCAGACGGGGACTGCAGGCAAGAAATTAGAAGACACTTGCTCCTGGGGAGGAAAGCTATGGCAAATCTAGACAGCATACTAAAAAGCAGAAACATCACCCTGCCAACAAAAGTGCGTATAGTCAAGGCTATGGTTTTCCCAGTTGCAATGCATGGCTGTGAAAGCTGGACCATAAGGAAGGTTGTGCGCCGAAGAATTGAGGCCTTTGAACTGTGGTGCTGGAGGAGACTCTTGCGAGTCCCTTGGGCCACAAGGCAATCAAACCGGTCAGTGCTAGAGGAGACCAACCCTGACTGCTCTTTAGAAGGCCAGATACTGAAGATGAAACTCAAATACTTTGGCCACCTAATGAGAAGGAAGGACTCCCTGGAGAAGAGCCTAATGCTGGGAACAATAGATGGCAAAAGAAGAAGGGGACGGCAGAGAACGAGGTGGATGCATGGAGTCACTGAAGCAGCTGGTGTGAGCTTGAGTGGACTCCGGGGGATGGTGGAGGACAGGAAGGCCTGGAGGAATGTTGTCCATGGGGTCGTGATGGGTTGGACACGACTTCGCAACAAACAACAACAACAATCAGCAGAACTAAGATAACATTGCTTGCGGTGGATTATACTGCAGATATGTTTGTAATTATAAAGCAAGATAATACTATTTAGGTCATTTAGGCAAACACATTTTATCTTCATGATGAGGTAAAGTAAGACTGAGATTCATAGCCAGGCAGATCCACACTCTGATCTCCTCTTTCCCACACTCTATTCAGTATACCAAACGAGCATACACTAAGTGAAGGGTATTGCTTCACTGACAGCACTCAGAGAATGCCCCATGTTCCATCTTGCACTGACAGTTAAAAGGCTTCAGACCAAGCCTATGGAGAGATATTGCACAATGCAGTAAATAATACTGATCTTGATGGACCAACCAACTGGTTCCAATATAAAGCAGCTTCCAAATTTCATAGGTTACTCACTTGTTCAGATGCAGGCATAAGTGATACACCGTGTAGTTGTTAAGAGCATGGGACTGGGACTCAGATCTGGGTTTTAGTCCCCACTCAGCTATGGAACTCACCAGATGACTTTGGGCCAGTCACAGACTCTCATCCCAACCTATCTCACAGGGTTATTGTTGTGAGGATAACGTTGAGATGAAGAAGAAGAAATTATGTAAACCACCAAGTTCTTCAGAAGGTGAGATATAAATGTAATAAATAAGTGCTGCTAAAATACTCTTTACTGAAAAGCATAGAGAAGTGCTCAGTACGGGAAAGCAAATTATACTAAACAATCATGATGATGGAAACCTACAACTCTCCAGATGTTTTGGCCTACAATTTCCATCAGCTCTTACTCAATACAGGCAATGAGGAGGGAAGCTGTAGACCAAAATACCTGGAGAAATGTAAGGAAGGACCAAAAGAAGATAGGGTTTTTTTAAAGAAACCCTTAAGAAAGGGAGGAGTTGGTACCAAAAAACCCCACACACATCCCCTCTCTTCCCTCTGGAAGAAATGTTGGAACTCATCATGATATGTTAATTTTCTATAAGTGGGTGGATGATACCCTCCTCTACTATAGAAAAACAGGTGTGGTTTTGGCACATATTCTAGTGGGATTTTTCCACATCAGTGTATGTGAAGACAAAAGAGGCAGGGAAGAGGCAGACAGGTAGTATTTTCTTTGTTTTATGTCACAATGTATAAGACATACTCTGCTATACTGACCTTGCAGTGCCATCTGAGGATGCAGTAAGGAGATGTTGATTATCTTTGGACCAGCAAATATCATACACAATGTTCAGATGTCCATAGAATTCTCTTAGGTATCGTCCAGAAGGAATCTCATATACTAAAGAAAACACAAAATATAAAAAAGGAATACAGTACATTAAATTAAACAATTTCTAATATTCATGAATCAGTCAGACAAAACTATTTGGTTTCAAAAAGTATTTCACAAGGATGCATAATTAGTATATAGAATTTGCTGCCACAAGATATAGCAGGGGTGCCACTAAAATTTCATTTTCTATTTCCCTGAGTTTTCTTTGGCACCATTCAAAAATAACTTGAAATTAAAATCAATCAGTCAGTCAATCCTCTATTTGATCACTGACAAGTGAATAAAACACAAATTACAATTAGTCAGGTAAGAAAAATATAGTTGTTCTAAAATTACAGTTTAGAATAAGGAAAAAATAGTTATTCTAAACAGAATCTAACAATGGCTAGAATTAATTAATAATTCTACAGCAGACTGTACAAAATATTGAGGAGTACTTGGCTGTGGTCAGAGAAATAAAATCAGACTGATCTGATAAAAACATCTTAAGATAAAGTATATCCAAATGATCAGGATATTTCGAAAAGAGTGAGAACAACTATTTCTGGTGAACACCTGCATAGAGAGGGCAATAAAGAATAACATGCTCCAGTGAGTCATTTATTTCTTCCTTGCATGGACACAGTCTATGTTGGAAGCGGATTTTGCGATATCTCCCTTTGGTAACAGTTGTTGGGAGGGCACTGAATCTAGCTAAGGAAAAAGTCCTTCTAAATTTTGGAATCATTATACTGCTAAGATATCCGGCTGGTTGGAGATGAGCGGTATGGTTCAAGAAGATGTTTCTAGATATAACTGGACAATCTGCTTGTAGCTCTAAATCAATGGTTCGCTGTTTAAGTTCTACTAATGCATGCTCACTTTTGTTTTGAAATAGCACTAAAATTTGCACTGAGATAAACACTTTAATTAAAAAGATCTCTAAACAATGATAAATGGTAAAACATATTTTTATTTTAAAACTGCACAAAATTTACATAAAAAGCAAAATGTCACTAAATATTCCTTTTAAAGTGGCTTAACTGAAGCCACACTCTTATCATTATGAAACTGGAATAAAATTCTAGTTAGAAACAAGAGTGCAAGCAAGTGGAAGATCAGCTACCCTTAACCCAATCTTATCCTCACAACAACAATACTATGAGGTAGGCTGTGCTGACTGGCCCAAAGTCACCCTATTAGCTCCATGGCTGAATGGAGACTAAAACCCAAATCTCCCGAGTCCCAGTCCCACACTCTTAACTGCCAGTTCTTTGCATTTCAATCATCCTGAATGTATTTTTCAGCAGTTCTTTCTTGGTGCTTCCAGTTAAACTTCACTTTGAGCAAAAGACTATTGGCATGATTTAATTTTCAGATCCTTTTGATATAATGGTCTTTGGCAGAGCAATAATTCCCAAATTACTTGGTTCAAAAGATGTACAGCACACTTTACAATAACCTTTTTATGTGTCTTCAGCAGCTGGCAATAGCCTTAGAAGCATCAAGTTTGATATCTAGCCATTGTTTTTTTCCTTTTTAAAAGCCACCTTAAAAAAATCCACGTGCAGCCTTCCAAACCAACACTTGCTTGTCATCAAGTTACAACCATTTGTCTAGTAGTCAGAACTTTGAGGCTGTGACCTGAAAGAGTTCCATGAGAAGATCAGCAGCAAGAAAGGAGGAAGAAGGAACCTGAATGTTTGCAGACCATTTCTGCTATCTAGCAGAAGCAGACAAATCGCATTTACAAGCTTTACTTTGTACGGTGCAAGGTAATAAGTGATTGTCTTCCCTAATCCATCATATCCAAGCTTTTCATTTAACTCTCCTTTGTTGGTGACAGGAGGCGTAACTCCATGTCCTGCCTATCACTGTCTTCACAAACATGGCCTTTGCACCTAAAGTTGTATGCTGTCTTGTATATATAGGGTGGAGTGGGGTTGCTGGATTTTCAGTTAGTTTACACTTTACTCTAAACCTTGCATGTGAGAGGTTAGTACAGTACTAGCACAAATTTTTCATTCCAGTGGATAGTTTGCAGGTTATCTACAAGTGGGTTAATGTTTTGTGCTGCGGCCTGTGAGTACTCTTAATCAGCCTCAGACTGAGCCAGACTTACTTAAGAGAAACATCCTGAATCTATTTATTTGAGTTCCATACAGCTTCCAATAGTCCATTTTTTGCCTGTTCCTTTAACCCAGCACAACTGTAAAAACATACAATTCACTAGTGATTTTGTGCCAGCTGAAAAGGGTATACACTTGGCACATTTACACTTTAGTGAGAAGTCTGAAGTCCATTATGCATGGACACAAAAGGCTTCCATCAGCTTCTGGCTAAGATCCTCAGGTAGCCTATGAGAAGCACACTTAGATCAGACACTGAAGTAATTGAAACCTATGTATCTGTCTTGAACAGCTTAATGTAAAGTGAACACCTAATATTTGTTTCAGGATGGAAATGCTGTAACATCCTTTTGTAAAAGCAGAAGAGAGGTCTGTTCTAAAGTGTATATAATAATGATTTTAATCTCAAGTTTTACAAAGCTATATATATGAGAGAGAGAGAGAGAGAGAGAGAGAGAGAGAGAGAGAGCGAGCGTGAGCATTGTAAAACAGTTTTCCTTTTATTACCATTTTAAATGCATAAGGTCTAATTCTAAACCAATTGCATTTTTACTGCTGAGAATAAAATAATAGAAATAACAGCAGACTACTAAGCAGACTACTAAATTCAGTCACTGACAATTTGCTGACCTCTGTGAAGTTTTGCATCTGCAGATCAACTGAAATCGATCCCAGTTTGTTTGAACACATGAATTAGTTGCAAAAAGCCAGGCATTATTCTCTATAATAAAATAGTGCTATCACATGGAGGCACATTTCATTCTGATTTACTTTTAATATTTTCAAATTGCATTACAGAATATATATTGCACTTGTATTCTGCCACTTGCCTATTCCAATTACCTCAAGTGCAGACTGAACTCTAGCCACACATCTCAAAAAATCCATTAAACGAGTACATCTTAATCACCATTTCCCTGAGTTTTGACCCATTTCTCTGAATAATCCCATTTACCCTAACTATCTGAGGTGCTAGTCATTAGGGTTAGATATTTCTGCCAGGTTCAGAGACGGCATGTTGGAAGGGAATGGAAGCAGGAGAGGGCTATAGCACAAATGTTCTGGTTGTGAGCTTCCCAAACATATCTGGCTGGCCAAAGCAGGGAACGGAATGCTGGACTAGACACATCTTCAGTTACATCCAGAGGGCTTTTCTTATGGTTTTAACATGGGTCTGATGGGACAAACCCTGAATTCAGTTGGACTGACCCCTAGGTAAGTCTGTTCAGCTTGAAGGTTTTATTTCTAATAAAGTTAAACTGTTCACTGGGAAATAAGTTTATATAATTGATGTTTGTGATAATTATTACTATGAACTTAAACCTTTTCCCCAAGAGAAATTCATTTGCTTTGTCACCATTCAATTCTATCGGCACCTTCTCTCAGTTCAAGTATCTACCACCATCTAGTGGCTGGTGCGTATAACATACATGCAATAAGAGAGAATTAGCTCCTGGATAGTATAGAAATAAATAATCAGTAAACATTTTAAACAGGGGTTTCATAACAGGGCATCGCAAGCCAGGCTGGATCAGAAAAGAAGAAAAAAAAACCCAGTACCATTTCAGGTTCCTTCTCCTGTTCCATAGCTGCTCACCAACAGAAACATGCTGAAATACAACAAACGCTGCAACAGTCACTTCTGCCTGCACCAGGGGCTCATGTTTTGTAGCCCTCCCTGTATTTTGCTACAGCTGCCATCATCCCATACCATTGGTTCTGCTGGCTATGGCTGACTGGAACGGTAGGCCAAAACTTCAGGAGGGCCACAAGTTGCCAACCTCTAGGGTACACCATGTCCCATTAATGTCCTCACATTTCAACTCCAAACTTTCTTCTATGCCACACCCTATTCTTGAAGCAATTTTCTGCTTTCCCTCAGGCATGCTGCCTTATACTCATCCTTCAAATCCATCCTCAAGCATTTTCTTGGCCACTTAAGTATCTACACAACTATTTGCTGCTGCACATTGGTCCACATCTCATTTCCTTGTATACTTTTATTCAGTCTTTATCTCCCTCTCGGTATTTGACTTGGACGAAAGGATGAAGAAAAAAAACAAAAGGGGACTTGAATAGGATCCTCAGCCATGGTATAAGCTGAACTTCTTTACAACACTGCAACTGAAGTGACTGACGTGCATGCCAGTGAATCAAATACTATCTCCACGCGCTTTAGGCAGTTTGCATACCTTTTATTTCTTGAAATACCATAATACAATTGTGAAATATTTTATTTAAACATACCTGCATGGTTTTAAAATAGCACAAAACAGCTCTGCAATGGGGCAAAGGTAGCTCTGTGGTGTCACAGACACTACCATAGTTAGCAACTGCTGCAAACATGGAACTGCTATTTTCAGAACATGGCTCTGGAGCAGGAAAGGCATCTTTGGATTCAATTGAATTAAGGTACAGGCACACTGCTCTCAAAGGACTGGGCTGGAGGCAGTGATGTGGGGCTATTCAAAGCTGTAAATGTTTTCAGATTATCTGTAGTTAAGTATTGAGACAATCCATACATGCAAATGAAATACATATACATCTCAGAGTGAAATGGAACTAATAAACAGGGACAGGAAAACAGCAAGTGCCACAAAAACCTTAGTGGAAGCGAACTGAACAGATGAGTGGAGATGGTTATCATTATCATTATTACACTGCATCTTACCCTGCCTGATTTACTCCTGTGAGAAAGCCAAGGCGGCTTACACAGCTCCATGTTATCTCCACAACAACCCTGTGAGGTAGGTTGAGCTGAGATGGAGCAACTGGCCCAAAGTCACCTTGACCTCAGTGGACAAAAGGGGACTAGAACTCAGAACTTCTTGGTCCCCAGGCCAAGCCTCTAAACATCACACCAGACTGGCTCATTATTATATCATGCAGGTTTCTGTGGGTTGCTGAAATTAATCAGTATCCCAACAATTTTCAGCACCTTTGCTTTTTCAAATTTAAACAAGATGAGGAAAGTACATGCTAACAGCTTTAAAGTTTTTCATGTATTCCAATTAACATCTCTACATAATATTTAAATCACAATTTGCCTTAATTTTTTCACTCCAACATTTCAGATTGCATACTTGTGGCATATTGAGGCAGAATTAACACGGGGCACCTTTTAAAACTTTGAATACTAAATACAAGTAAAACTAACATGCTAAATTGGATCTTGCTAGGGCAGTGATAGGGAAACTTGTTGCTCTCAAGATGCTTTGTCCTATAGTTCCCATCAGTGCTCTATATCACCTAGGCAAACAGCTCCTTTAAATAGTTCTATTTATATTTCATACCTAAAACATAAAATGCCACAACTTCTGAACTCCATTAAAGCAACAATATTTAAACTTGCATGCACTTAGCAGCTCATTCCTACAATATTTAATCTGAAATAAGTCCCACATTTAATGGGATATTCTTTCAGGTTATTATTTCACTGCCATGTTGGTACCAATGAATTCAAAATGCTGCCCAATATTCATATTAATTAAAGCTCTCTATGTGGAACAGATCCTCAGAGCATGACAAACACAGTATAAAAATCATGCACCGTATAAATATAGAAGACAAAAGTGTATTGTAAACTGTGTTCCTCTTCCAACTGCTTTATATTGTTCTTAACCAAGCATAAAGTACTTTATCATTCCAAATTTCATTTTGCACTAAACATCCACTTGCCCTCCCTCTTAAACTCTTATATCTGTAGTAGTAAGTTTTCCAATTTTAAGTTGGCGCAGCAATTGTTACAATAGGAACAGATTATATTACACTGTCAAGCTACACTTTCATACATACATAGTGCTTGGCTCCCAAACAGCCATGTGCACTTCTGCACACCCATCCCACCCACCCACCCCCACATCACACACTGTTTCAGAGAACCCTCTGCCATCTTGGAAGATCTTTTCATCGCCCCAGAATGCATGCAGCATTCCATACACAGATGGAATGGTTCAGGCAACCATTTTTAACTGGTGCTATCTCTACAAAAAAGGACACATGCATGTCCTAATGAAAGCTTTTCAGAACAAGAAATTGTGAAGACAAAACTTCTTTTGTGGTTGTATATAAAAATCTAAACACACCACTTACAAATAATAGGATAACCATCTCTTCCTGCACAACCAGCTGCTAATGTTCGGCCATCTTCAGAGAAACGAATACAGAAACATCCCATATCTCCAGCTTTCAGGGAGAACAGGTATCTGTTTGGTATGCGACAAACCTGCATTTCCAAAGCAAACCATTACTTGCACAAGTCTGCTGCAGCAAAAACAAGGTCTTCTGACATCTTAAGAACTAACAAATCAAGTAGGACAAAAGTTTGGGGGCAGGCATAAAAAGAATGTAGCAAGGAAATTTAAGAACCAATGGATCTGTGCAAATATTTCTTCATTCTCAGGATTCCACATGAAACTGGAAACAAAGTACAATCTTTCCCTGCCTCTTATTCTCTCCTACTCCCCTAACCACTAAAATATGAATATGTTGAGGGTCAGTCTACAGATTATTCATGCTGGCCATTTCTTTGTTGGAGAAGAAGCAGCTGCAGGCTCCTGACTGGGTCCTGCTTCAGTTTCTTACTTTAATGCTTCCCCACCCCATGCTATTTTTTCCTTCAGTTATTGTTTACTGCCATGTGTTTAGCTTTAAATAGTGTCCAGAATAAATGGACAAGAAATCAGTCTAAGCCTGCAATTCAAATTCCAGATCTGGCCCCCATTACTATTTTTTCTTCAGAATAGAAACAGTAGTTTAAGCATGCTTTTTGCAAAAAACACAGATAGCATAATAGCAGAGCCTATGTTCAAGCGTCCTATATCCTTGCAAGATGACTCTTGCAAGAAGTACAGCATCTTCAGAAAACAGTCATTACTTTCTCACTACAGTGATGGCAATAAAGATCAGCATACAGGATTTTTCTCTCCTTACTATGTAAGTAGAATTCTGTGGATGAAGAAGTGACCAAATAGCCACAAAGAAATTGAAGGATGCTGCATAAATATGCTGATTAATATTTTAATTGTAATATATGTTCCAACTGTCACAGCTGCAAAACATTCACAATCCAAATGGAAATCAGTAGTAGACATTTTGTGCATACACTCAGGAAAATAAAAATTAAGCCATTCATATTGTACCTATACCTGAAATTTTCCAGTTCCATAAAGGGCTAGTATTATATCACTTATACATAAAAACACATAAAAGCTCATGCCTGTCCAGGAAGTTTTGACCACTTAAATGGTTCCTCTTTTTTCAGTTGTGGCCCAGATTTATTAGCTTTTTGTGATGTTTCACTTTGTAGGTCCAGGAATGATGAGGAATGATATTCTTGCTGAACAGCCATCATAGAACGTAAGGTAGGACCTATCTATAAATAGATAAAAAGTAGCAAAACAAAATTTGCGTAGATAAATTAAACAGCAGAGTAACAAATTACAAACACCAGAGAAAGTGAAGTGTGTTATCAGAGGAACATTGTGTAAAATTAACCTCACTTTATAGGGATCCAAATCCATGACATTCACACAACTGGGCTATACAGGCAGTTCAGAGTTTGATTTCGCTGTACTTGATGACTTGCAGCTAAATGTGGGAACGGACTTAACTGCAAACGCACTAGGTTTGAGCAATCTGACACCTAGCACTGCTTGAAACTCCCTGGATTTGTTCTTGCTCATTCACATGTGAAGCCAAGTTATAAATGTGAATGTGTAATGCAATGCCCATTACTTATGTAGCATGTCTACAGTGCAAAAGTTTTGCTATCTGTTCCCAAGATTTGTCAACAAGCTGATTTGTTAGGTTCCGTTGTGGTATGAAGAAAAGCCAGTTCCATGAAAAAATGCCGCAGCTTTGCAGATTAAAAAATATATATTCTCAAGTCTGGAAATAGGCGTGATAAACCAACCCAGTAAGGCTACAATCAGAAACACATTTATGAGGAAGTAAGAGCTATTGAACATGATGGGACTTGGTTCTTACACACAGGACCGTGTTGCTGGTATACTATGACTCTTTCATTCCCACTAGTAAAGCCAAGCAATGTCCAAATAGAAAGAATGGAATTCCCAAATCTGTATTAAGCACAGCCCACAAGAACTCTACAGACACACCCACAGCAATGTGTATATAGCTCTGACTAGACTGTTGACAAGCTCTTTTTCTTGAAAGGGAGCATTGTAAGATTATGCTCGGTGAGGGAACAGATAACTAAACTCCTGCTTGGTCTTCTACTCCACTAGCAGCATCGATATTAACTTTATTTTGCTTATAAAGACTTCACTAGCAATAAAGTTAACCAATATCTATTTCTCTTGATCTCCCTAGAGCGAAGTCCAACAGTATTTGTGAACTCTAGACAGAAGAATCTTAAAAATACAGATTGAAAAAGGAACACATATTTTTCCAAATTTCTTATTATTGCAACTTTATTCATTTCAGTAAATTTTCACTGGAGTTCATCTTTTTCATGGATATTGTTATTTTTAAACACAATTCAGCAGCTGAGTGACAGAATAATATCCAAATATTGGAGATGACAGGAGAGAGGGTACCAAATATAAAATGTACCCAACAGAATATGCAATTGTTTCATCCCCCAAATAAGTTATAACTGATCAATAAGAACAACTTTTCTGCTTCGTGTCCAGATAAATCTTTGTGTTGGCATGCATTCAACTTAACTTACATGATCTGGAAGTTTAATGCCTTTCACAGTTACATACAGTGTGGAAGGGTAATGGTTTCTGGGACATTTAGCCCACCAGTCATACACTTCCACAACATTTAGTTGTGTCTTGGTTCTCACAGGAGGAGAATATAGCTGAAGACGTACTTTTCCACCAACATTCAGAACTCCATTTGCACCTACAAGCTGAAAAAGCCAAACCAATAGGAAAACGAATTACGCATAGTTTACTTTGCCCAACAGCACAACTGAGTTATCGTATGACTATTTAATGTGGTAGCATTTTCTGTGAGCCGTCCCGAGGCTATATAGCAAGGGGATGGCATACAAAAACTTTAAATAAATTAATTAATTATAAATAAATAAACAAACAAACATTATAGGTTAGTTCCAAAATAGCTACCACAGATAGCAGGCACAGATTTCCTATCAGAGGATCTAGTCTGTGCAGTTAGGAGGCAAACAAAACACCTCAAATTTAGATGGCAGCCGTCTGAATTCACATAGTGAATCTGCTCAGTACAAGTGATTTATCCGAAACAGCATCCGAGACTTCATCCGGAAATTTGGTAACTAGATAGTCTTTTTATCTTAATGTACACCGTATTTATCCCTCTCTTCAGCTGAACAGGCTCTTTACATTCAAGTTACAATACTAAAAACAAGACACAGGAGAGGGAAAGGGTATGAAAGATGAGCTAAAAAAACCCAAACTCAAGTTCCAGTTCTTATAAGAATCAGCTGGGGTGTTAAAAGGTCAGGAAGAAGAGGAACTCAACAGAGCTGGCCTGTCAGGCAAGCCAACGGAATGGCCCTGCTCCCCATCTCTCCTTCAGCTGCAACCTAACCGAATGGCTGCTGCCTGCCTATGCCAGTACCATCTCTACAAAACACAGCACAGTGGCTATTACATACTGAACTCATGCTAAGTTGACTTCCTGATGATGCAACACAGCAAGTATATAGGAATACTTTCTGATCTCACTCTGGGTGCTAACTCTTCCTCTGGATCATATGAGATTAACCCAGAAACAAGGCATTTTTATTTTTCACATGGCACCAAAGCAGAGCAGGGAAAGAAGTGGTATGAACAGGAACAAAATCCCACAAGAAAAAATTATGCAAGAATGAACTGTCTACTCTTTTGCCTTCCAAATATCTTCATGGGTGATCTTTTTGTACCTTATAACACTTTTTGTATTTTTGTATCTACATTTCAGAAATGTTATCTCCTATCATAACTAGGATCTGAAATACATCTCTGCTAGTTTTCCCACTAAAATACAAAAGCTGCTTGTATTTATTTTTCCCTTAAATTTTACTGGGACAGTTCAGTAAATCATTTCCCAAACATCTGAATACCTTTAGAAATGCCCAACAGATTTTCCGAAAGCCACTCTCCTGAGCCTGGAGATCGAAGTTGGCCTTTGCATCAATCATGCTTAAAAAATCAAGGATCTGAACAAAGAAGGAAATTATCTAGTTTACATTCCAATAATCATGTGCACACAAAGTTGTATCACCTACTGTCCAGACAAGCAGTATTTTTTCCATGAGTCCTTTTCCTGTGGTAAACAATTTTTCAGATTGCATCCCTCACATGGTAAACATACTATTTTGCATGGCCAAGCCTTCAGGAATTCAAATTCCTCCTGTACTTGTTGAATTTCAGTTCTTAAAAAAGTGGGAATGCCACTCGGAAGCAAACAAGAGATGCTGAATGGCAATTGTCTTAGGAGAAAAACTTGTGAGCAAGTGAACATTCAGGTAGATATGGGGGGCCCATGAATGAAGCTTCCCAGTTGACAACAGTGTTAAGCACCTTCCTTGATTCACAACTGTACTGCTTCCCCAGCTCCTGGATATTCCTGCAAAGCTATTAGACTCCTGAAAGGGAAAGCTTAAAGTGGATGCTGCACCCAACTATTATCTGATGGCCAAGATAACTCCTTAAGTTTCACAAAACCCCTGAAGTACCCTTAGGAGAGATATGCAGGGGTCATACAAGAAAACCAGCACAAGCATCAAAGACACTGTTTGGTCTAGTTCTTCCATTAGATTAAAAATCTAAAAGCGTAAGTCCAATACTACCTATTCTTTGAAATAATATATTTCATCAGTATCAGTTAATACAGAAAAGATAGGTGCTGGAATTAACTTGGTAGAATAGAAATTGGTAGAACAGAAATATTCATGCTGTACCTCAAAAAACAGGATTACTCTTGGGCTTTCTTCAGTATCTTGAAGGAAATAGTTAAAACGTTCATTGAATATTATTTGTTCCTCCCATTCTGGAAGTGTTGACTTAAACTGTCTGAAATCATAAGGCTGGGTCATAATGGGAAGAATATGTTCCACTTTCTCTTGTTCATAGAAAGATGAGACTGGCCGGCTTCTAAATAACAACAATTATACATTCTGTTGAGGTGTGTGTCCAACTTTTGCCAAAAGAAATAACTACAATGAAGATAGCTATAGGAAAAAATACCATCAAATATTGGAACATGGAATGAACATGTTAAGCTTCAACTCCAGACTACACTAAACACAATCCACAGCCCTGTAAAGTGCAAGTGTTTGAATGGTTCAGGCTCAAATCAAATCTAACAAAACATTACTGAAGGGCAGATGTAAATGAAGTAATCCATATCTTGATGAATTCACTTTATGTTTACATCCCTCCCAAACTGTGCATGTTTCAGGGCTTTGCTTCTTCTTAATCATTTTAACCCAGACCTTTTCTCTTGATTGGAACATGACCCAGCATGGACAAAGCATGTCACTTTAGATTTTTCATATATAAGCCTATAAGCCATAGTTCAATACAGCGCACGCTTACTTGGAAGTAGTCCCATCATTTTATCTGTATCAGCGCCACAGCCAGAGCTCTATGGGTGGTGCACAACAATTACAGCATTAAAAATGGTCAAAGATACATGGGGAGGAGTGTATAGGATTACAGTCTTAAGTATTAGTTTAGAGCACAGAGCTAAAGAACTTCTTTGCTTTCACCTTCTTGGCTTCTTACATTACGAAGATGTCACTCTTAAGGTTCAACACAACCCTTATTCCAGGTTGGCCTCACATATATTCCATCTTCCAGATTTCCCATGAAAAGACTTTTATGACCTTTTTGCATGTTCCAATCTCACTCACACATTAGAAGCGCTTATGCTTGTACTGGTGAAGTGTGCAGATACACAGGTGCTGTCTCAAGGGATATGACAACTTTCTACACCACACGTTCACACAATCCAATTTAGAGAACCAGGCTATCACTTGAAAACGCATTATCTCTTCTTTATGGAAAAAAATCAATAGCCAAGCTTATCATCTGCAGTTCTCAAAGCACAAAACTTTTAAAAATACTTAATCTCCTATTTAAAATCAAAATCCAGCTGAAATGTCTGAAACACAGAAAACTGACTTCCAGTTGGCAAACCAGATATATTTTGCCACAGAAACAATACAAGGAAAAACTATTTTCATTCAGTAATTTTTATTTGAATATATTAACTAAATTTCATATTCACTTGCCTTTTCCTTTCCCCTGCAGCTCATCACATAATTAACTGAAAGCATAAATTGCATTTTAGGTATTAAAGTACATTTGTATGTATGAAAACTAAAATCCCAATTATGCAAGCATAAGCTAAGCAGAGATGTGAAAATGAGGCCATTAACAGTTCAGCTGAGCTTCTGGAGATTAAACAAAAACTAAAAGGAAACTTTAAAAATAAATGAATTTACCTATTCTCTTTCTTGACATATAGACCAGTTTTCTGATCAATCACATGAATCTTAACCATGGGATGTGATACCATAACATCAGTTTTAAGTCTGTCAGTCCGATGGATGAAAACACCTAAAACAAGGCTATCATCAAAAACAGGTTTCAATTCTGGTGATGTATTTTCAGCAGCCACATGTGCAGTATTTTCATTATTGTTTTCTATATTTTCTTCTAATGCTAGAGTGAAGAAAAAAGTCAGAATTAAGTATTAATAAAATTGTATATTTGCAGTTACCATTAACTAACTTAGCTATATAAACAATGATTTATGAACTCTGTGTTACTGAACTAAAATTGTTCAGCAGAAATTTTTTTCCATATAAAGCATACCTACTACTTAAATTGATTCCAAATGCACCTATATCCAGTCTATATGTATAACACAGACCCTAATAATAGCTTTATAAGTGATCTATTAACATGGTACAGGTTTACATGTGGAAAAAGCTGCAGGAAATGTGGCTGTAATTTTTCTTGAGCAGTAATTCAGTGCACCCACTCTTTGCCTGCATCTTTCCACTGGGATGTCAGCAGGAATCAGTGTAGGTAGAAAGTCTCAGCTTTCTCCCCCCCGTAGCATGCCCCTTTCCCCACCATTTCCCCACAATGGCAGACCATTTCTGGAGGTTGATATTCACCATCACCATCATCATCTATTTCATTTCTATCCCATTCAATAGCTAAAGCTCTCTAGGTAGTTTAAAACAGTTCATAAAAACTATACAATAAAATACTACTTTTCCCCCCAAAATACATAAATTGAAAAGCAAATTCAAAAGCAAAACCAGCTAAAACAGCATACAGTGGAAAGCAGACCTGTAAAACACCTGTGATGGGTAATCCAATCAAGCTCTTAAATTATTATGTATATCTTTAAAAGTATCAGCATAAAGGAAAGTCAATCTAATGCTAAAAAGATGACAAGTTTGGCAACAGGCAGGTCTTAGGGGGGAAACCATCCAAAGTTGAGGAACCAGCAGAAAGAAAGCCTCCCTTGAAGTTGGCACACCAAGCAAGGCCCCAGAAGTGGACTGTAGTCTCCAGGTACATTGCAACTGATTGAGATGCTGTGTCAAGTACTGTAGTCCCAAACTCTACAAGTCTTTATACATTAAAACCAGTGCTCTATTGGGCATAGAAGTGTACAAGCAGCCAATACAAGTGGGCCAGAATTTGTCTTATAGAAGACCTGTGGATCCCAGTTATTAGTCTGAGTGCCACACTTTGCACAAGCTGCCACTTTGAACCATCTTCAAGGGCAGCTTCATTGGAAGTTAGAGGAACCACCCATTAACAGCATTTCAGTCTTGTCCGAGACTGAGCTTCAGTTGGTTAGATATCATCTAGTTCATTGTCCCAGCCAAAACACTGGTTTCATACATCCACAGCCTCCCCAGTGGAGAGAAAAAGAACAAATAGAGTTGAAGGTCATCAGCATGTTAATTAGCAACTAGGATCTTTAGGATCTTCTAGGTCAAGAGAGGCTTTTTTCAAAAGTGATCTCACAACCACCTTTTGTGGATGCTATGAGGCCAGTCCCTCTTGTAAAGGGACACTGATCACCCCTTCTGCCCAGAAAGTTGCTCCTTCCTTGCTGGCTTTTCTAAGTCAGGAGGGCTAAGCATTCAGTACAGGCAGCTGTCTAAGCTTACTGTCAAGAACCTCAAGCTCTATCAAATGAAACTCAGTCAATAAAACCGAACCAGACTGTGCTGTTGGCATAAATGACCTGGTTCAACTACTATAACTCTGGAAAGCAAGCCCTGGCAAATGTAAGAGAACTTTTCATGGAAGTTTCCAGCAAATATATTATCATATATATTACTATTATATTATCAGATGGATCTAGAATGTCTTTCAGGCCAGTGTGCAATCGCTGCTAGACCACCCTAAAAAGCTTCTTGGGAGACAAATGGAACACTGAACAAAGGCAGTGGGATGCCATTTCTTTGCCACACCTCACTGGCCCTAAATAGGCCTGACTGGAGGAACATACCAGGGTTTGACTATACCCACTAGGAACTTTCCTCCGTGTGCACTTAAGCTGTCACCTGTGTTGCTTCATTGCTCTAAGCTCCAAGTGTATGAAAGAGCTGTAAGAGCTCTACAACAGAAAGTGAACTCCGGAGTGATTGTGGCAGCTACCCAGGCCATCTCTGCATTCCATGAGTCAACCAGCCCTCTGACAGGAATGCCAGCCATATCAGCCAGACACCATCATTCCTAGAAACCGTCTGAATCCATTAGCTTCTCAGAGTGGAGTATCTAAGCCCCTAAACTTACAGATGTGAAAAGCCACCAGCAGTCTAATCTCAGTAGGTGGTGACCTGACCATAATAAAGGAGCTAAGCCATAGTCCCTTGCATTCAGATCCCCATTCTCATGCCTGGTTGAGAAAACTAAGTCTAGAGTATGCCCTACAACGTATGTTGGGCAGATGACGTCGGTTGGGACAGTCCAATGGTTGTTATGGAGACCATGTAATCCTGAGACATCCCAGACAAGAAGCCTTTGGCATGAATGCTGAAATCCCCTGGGGGATCCCAACTTCACATCCAAAAACACCTCTGTTGGTTCATGCAGGGAGACTGTAGGGTCCCAGGGTGGGCATTACCCTGGCAGAATCCCTAACCTGCCCAACTGACCTAGCACAAAATATGAACACTTACACTAGACCAACAGGGAACCAGAGAGAGAACCTGAATTCCTATAGATCACAGCAACCCTGTTTTCTCCTGCGTGCAAGTCTATGCTCATTCAAGAACCCAGTGAGAAAAACTGGAATAAACTATTTTTTCCCTGTTAATCCACCCAGGTGTCAGTTAGATATGACAGATCAGATACTGAATTTAGGATTAAATTGTGGACAAATGAGATCACATTCTGCACCAGTCTGGCACTTAAAAGCGCATCTGAGGCCTGAGAGTAAGCATCAAGCTTCTGGGTGCAAGGAGGACAGAAACAAATAACACCTGTAGCTACTGGGGCTTGTTAGCCTTACTTGGCTAGTCCTTCTCCCAGTGCCATATCTGCCTCTAGCCATCACTACAGTGACTGTTTCTCCTACTGTCTACTCGTCTGGCTCCAGCAGCTGCAACCTGAAAGGGCAGTTCCAAGGGGTATACCTCCTTTAAAGTTACTTCTAGTGGGAATGCCCCTATTGGGGCAGCCAATTAGTTGGTGGTGAGCTTGCTTATATGCTCCAGGAGGCTGCTGGATCACCAAGGGCCAGGTGAATCTAATCTGTTCTGATGTGCTCAATCTGAGACTAGAAGATTGCTGGAAAGGATGGGAGCAGCTTGAAGCCAGTTGTTAAAAGTGGCACAGCAGCCCACTTCCCCAACCTCCTTAAACCTCCTCTCTGGTCTCAAGGGTGCAGACTGTCCAGGCCAGGATCTTCTTCCAGTCCAGCACTGGGCCTGTTTATATGTCCCAGAAAGCTACTCGATTACCAAGGGTCTTTGTCCATGGAGGGCCATGCATAACATGGGAACCAGACACTCTTTAGAAAATCTACTGAGACAAATATCAGGTCAATTCACTTACTCACATGTGCTTTTTCTCCTGTTGGAATTACACTGTGCTTACAGCAAAAGATCATCTAAATATGCCACCACAAACACAAATTGCTACTTTGCCTACTACTAAATCCAGGTTTGGAAGGCATTCTCAAGTGAAAGTAAGTGGATCACACATGGACAAGTTCAGATGGCCTTTTTTGAAACAAGAATGGTGCGTGCATCATAACATGGTCATGCAAAATGACCTTTCACAATATGAGGAGATTTGGATTCTAGCCACGCAAACCTTTTTTGGTTTTCCTTTTCGCTTTCTTTCCTTTACAAGTCTGTTCTTCAGTATGCTCCTCCAGCTCTTGCTTCTCTGTTAGCACATTGTCACTTTCAGACTTGGATATGAGTGGTCTTTCCAACGATCTCTTTTTGCTGTAATTTTCTCCCTCTGGATCATTCTGTAGTTCAGAAAGGGACATTGCACTGCAACAAAGGAAGTTTCACAGTTAAATGATATAGTTAGGAAGGGTTATGCATGGATATACACACTTGGCCCCAAACTTGTCAAAACTTGTAATTGCAGCCTGCTAGAGATGCGAGTAGGGTTAGGGTTGTGGTTACAGTTTTCCCAAAAAGGCAAAGAAGAAAAAGAAATACCATAAACACTGAAAATACACTGCTCCCACACCTGAAGTTACTTAGAGGTCCTGGGTTGGAGGTAAGAAGTGCTAGAAAGCAGCACATAATTTCCTTCCATCTAGCTGGGTTTGTGCCAAGGTGAGTCCTTGACAAAAGCTCTCAGTGAGTCAGAAGGTGACAAAATGGGACACCCAGTCACTCAAACAGTGGAGGCACATCAGTGGTCAGAGCAGTTGATGATTTTGTTGCCAGGCAACAAATGTGCTATTCTTACAGAATATGGCAATTGCAAGAGAACTGGGAGAGAAACAGGAACTGGATGTCTGGGAGACAGCTTTCAAAGCTAGAAACAACCAGTCCAAATTATGTATTCACTTTGTAAGCCGCCCCAAGGCTCTTTGTGAAGGGGGCGGCATAAAAATGCTCTAAATAAATTAAATAAGAGAATCCTCTTGGGAGTTTGGCTGGGTGTCTACAGACTGAACTGGCAAGTAGAAAAAATAATGTGTTAATTTCATACCCTTCCCTATCTCTGAGGCCTATGCAAAAGCCCTAAGCCAAGAATCTTGCATTTCCTGCCACAGGGAACCCAATCTGTTGGCCCTGCAAGCACATTTGGGAATTTGAGAAACTGCTGTAGGCACCATCACAAAATGGCTCCCAAAGTGCTTGCGCTCAGCAACATACTGGCTGCTATGTGGGCCTGGCAAGTCAAAAGTGATCTAAAGAGGAGAAGAAAATAGTGGGACTAGAAGCTGAGAGGGAGGAGGAAACAAAGGAAAAAGAGTGAGAAAAATCTGGGCATGGATGAGAAACAGTAAAGAGCAGGTGGGAATCAAAATAGTGACGCTAGAGGCTGGAAGCAAAGGGAAAACAGATAGGCAAAGGAGTAAAGAAAGAGCAAGCTAGAGGCTTGTGGGGAGAATAGCAAAGCTAGAGGTTGTGGGGGGGAGGGCAGAAATGGCAAGGCAAGGGAGGAAGGAGAGGAAACAAACCATGCTAGAAAGGTAAAGAAAGATGACTTTTAAGGTTCATTTTCCAAGGGTTTCTATACTTGGGATTACAACAGGTATCACACTGGGTACCCTCGCTCTACTGAATGCTCCCCTCCCCACAGAGAAATTCCTCTCTGCCTCTGTACCAGTCTGGATATAACTTTTCCAGGAAGAAGAAATGCTAATATATTGAATACCCTGTTTCAGACAGGGTAGTACCGTTACATTTTCTCCTACAAAATCTTAGGTCCAGGTGAAGAAAAGTCACAGAACTTTTCCCATCTGGATAACAACAACAATAATCAAAGAACTGTTAAAGATTTAAACCCACGCAGAGTTACTGTTTGTCACTATACCTTGTTTGAGCTTCAGATATAACCGGTATTTCTTTTTTCTTTTTCTTCTTTTTGCTCACTTCATTGTTCAATACCATTTCATGACTTTGAACATTTGAGGTGAATTCAGACATCTGCTCTTTAAGTTTCTTTTTAATTTTCTTCTTAATTGCATTTGCTTCTTCCACAGCCACTTGCTGTTCATAGGCTTGAATTAGCTGTTCTTCCTCATCTAATTCAGATATATCTCTCACTCCATTCAAGACACTTTTTATGTTAATGTCCCCTTTTTGATGAAGTGCATCTGCCTGTAATACACTTTTTGCTTTTTTCTTTGAAAAAACATGAATCTGTTTTTCAAAACTGTCTAGCTTAGTTTCACATAGCTTTTCGTCCTCATTAAGTTGTTCTTGTAATACGGCCTTTTTCTTCTTGTTAGATTTTGGTTGGTTGCTTTCCTTTCCACTAACAACATTGTTTGTTTCTTCTGCAACTGAGACTTTATCTCTGAACTTGCTTTTTGTAAATGGTAGACTCTTTTCAGCTTGGTTGTATGTGTTGTTTATAAATGTTTCTTCAATTTCACTTTCTTTGGTACGATCAAGATGATTTTTGAATGTCTCAAGCTATAATCAAAACAAAACATTGAAAAATCACCTACCTATGAATTGCAAGCATCCAGATTATAATATTACATTTCTTATCTGGTATATTTTGATATCAAAGTTGATTTTATTGTGTGAAATAAGCATAATTAAGAGTCACTTAGACATTCAGTGGCAACCAACAGATGGAACTCATATAGCACACGAGATAAAAGACCACAGATCTAGCATCACTAAAGTACTATTTTACAAAGTATTACAATAACATGTATGAGCTTATAGTAGCCAAGATAATTTAAAACTTATGCTTCCAAGTATTACCTTTATATGTAAACCATGATTTTGTCATTCAAAATAGTGTAAAACATCAACAGAAATCTGACCTACGCCCTTTCTTTCAGTGAAATACTAATTACTGACATATAACAACCACAATGCATTTTTGAGAACAGACTGAAAACCAAACAAAACCCCCTAAGTTTGAAACTTGATCAAAGAATCCTCTTCCAAGAGATAGCTGGTCAAATATTCTGGAGAGGCTGATCTATAAATGAGTACATCTTCTATTCATGTTTATTAGAAATTCTGCTTTACTCACATCTAAACAGATATCCAATTCTCCACCTAACCAACCAATCTTAAACTTTTTTAGTTACTTCCCCTTCAGTTTCTCTTTGCTTTCTTTTCTCAAACTCAAATCCCACTCCATTTCTTCTTTAGTCTGCCCCAAACAGTACCTAGCCAACAAAAATGCTGAAAGTAAACTAATTTCCTGTACCAGGTGTACAAAGTTTTGATTAGACATACATTTCTTTAGGTGTCCATTCATACCTTTGAGAACTCTGGTCCAATCACAATTTCTGGTTGCTTGCCTATCATCACTTGAGTCTGTTGTGTGAAACACTGTTGCTGCATACAGACCCATTATCTGTACGTTCAACAACTGGACTACTTATGCCAATGCCTCGTTTTAGTAGATGGCAAGTCCTAACCACATTCCTTAACTACTCCACAGTTTCAGAACTGTAGTTTTCTACTCCATCAAATCTGATTTCCTGAATTTCATACCTCCACCACAATCTCATTCTTGCCCACATTATTGTTCCTCACTCAACCATCTTCTCATCTCAACTTTGCTTTAATAATGCAGACAAACTATCAAAATCATTGCCATTATAAGTAACTAGGGGACAATCCCATGATAGGGAAAATTATTTTAAACATTTTTATATTGTCTTTCATCTCATCATATTTCAGGACGACCTAAAACATAAAACAAATTCAAACAAATTAGTTCAAGAAAGCAGCAGATGAATCCTTAAAACAGGATGCCAGAAACTCACTTATTCAGGAGTTTCTTGACTCTACTGTGTTGACCAGGCATCTGCAGGTAACCCCATCCGAGGAGACAATGCCCCCTGGTCACTACTGACAGTAAAACAAGCCCAGTCTCCTCAGTTCCTTGGAGATGATGAAGGATCCCACTGGGGTCGTGTTGGGCTTCTTTGAAGCCTACCTGGATCCACAGGCAAACACAGCATGTTTCATGGAACCTAGATGATGAAACAGCAAAGTCTAACCCAAAATCATATGCCTCTCCTGAGCCTCACCTCTTTCACCCCCAAAGTATACACTTGGTGTTTTGATGGAAAGACAGCAAAAGTTGTATTAAGGATTCAAGGAAAAAGTACAGAATGAGGAAAAGGTCAGCTGTATTCTGGGAAACAAAGCAATATGCAGTTTAAAGCAGCAAATCAGTGCAAAGGATAAACAAAACAAAAGGGGAAAATACTGTTTAGCTAGCACAGCTCTTGTGCTGATTAAAAGGTAAAGGTTTGCCCTTGACAAAGTCCAGTCATGCCTGACTCTAGGGGGTGGTGCTCATCTCCATTTCCTAGCCGAGGGAGCAAGTCTCTGTGGTCTTGTGGCCGGCATGACTAGAACACCGACGTGCATGGAATGCTTCCCACCGAACTTTTCATCTACTTGCATTTTCATGCTTTCGAACTGCAAGGTTGGCAGGAGCTGGGAGGAACTCACCCCATTGTGCAGATTGGAACCAGCAACCTTTCGATCAACCAGCACAGCAGCACAGCAGTTTAAACCACTGTGCCACCTGCAACCCTCTGTGCTGATTAAAGGTAAAGGTAAAGGTTTCCCCTTGATGCTACATCCAGTCATGCCTGACTCTAGGGGGCGGCGCTCATCTCCGTTTCCTACCCGAGGGAGCCAGCATTTGTCCGCAGACAGTCTTTGTGGTCATGTGGCCGCATGACTAAACACCGAAGTGCACGGAACGCTGTTACCTGCCCATCGAAGTGGTACCTTTTTATCTACTTGCATTTGCATGCTTTCGAACTGCAAGGTTGGCAGGAGCTGGGACAAACTCCTAAGGTTGGCAGGAGCTGGGAGGAACTCACCCCACTGTGCAGATTGGAACCAGCAACCTTTCGATCAACCAGGCCAGCAGCACAGCAGTTTAAACCACTGCACCACCTGCAGTCCCTCTGTGCTGATTACTCCCCTATTAATTCCTTGAAAACTTATTACGTCTGTGACAAGGTTTTCCTGGTGGCTGCATCAGGTTTCCCAGATTTGTACCTTGGGCTATCTCCCCACAAGCCTGCCTCAAGCTCCCTTAGTTTCTGGTAGACCTGCTCCTGGCACCCATGCTGGAAGAAAAAGGTACCGCACACACTATGCATGGGCACACATCCATACACTTCTTTTCCCAGTGGAGTATATTTCCTCCCTTTGCCTAGGAGAAGATTTCAAAGGTATTTCTCCTTTGTGTGACTGTCCAATAAAGACTCATCCCCAGTTCTGAGACTGGCTCTAGGAGATTCCTGTTGTTTAGTATTAAATAGATTGTCTGGAGAGTTTGCTATTGAATAGATTGGCTATGTAGTAATGCCATGCAGCATGCATTAGGAGAATGGCCTTTCTCTTAGATAGAGCCCTGCAGCTGATTCCAAAAGGGAGATTTCTGTCTCTTAGATCTGGGTAAAATGGAGTCAGTATTGTCTGGCCAAGTGGGAAGACCAGAACACCTGTAAACAGAGTACATTTAAAAATAATAGGATAGTAAACGAATGTTCCAAGGGATGAACATGAAAAATAATCTTCCACGTTTATTTGTTTAAAAGACAGACAAGGCAAGAGTATTGACTATACAGGAGAAATGACACAATTAGTGTTCTTTTCTCCATTAAGTGTCTTAGAAAAAAGGACACTCTTCTGTCTTTACATGAATATGTCTTTTTCGATACTTTGCCTAATTTCACCACAGATGTCACTTTTGCCTGTTCTAACAGCCTGGATTTAGATTCACTATCTATCCTCTCCCTACACTATGGGAAAAGGATGATGCCCCTGAAAAAGGCTTTACAACCAAGTCCCACAACCTAGGTTGATTTCATCATAGAGGGGTCCTACCAGGCTCCAACAGTCATAAGATTTTGGAAATTGAAAAGGAAAGAACAAGCATAAGCTGTTATTGCAATTTTTAAAGTACAATAAGTAAAAAAGAAATTATTTTATTGTGCAATACAAAAATAACCATAATGTACCATAAGAAAAAAAGCAAAGGAAAAAATAAAAAATAGAGTATTTGATTAGCATTTAAGAAAAGAAAACAATTCATAAAACTGGTCATATATATACTTCAACAACTGTACCATATACTTATCCATTTATGGATTACACTTAAAGGCCACCTGTTCAAAAACTGAAGGCCCCATTATATCCTCCACACAGCGCATTATAACAGATAGCTAATTATGCTTCCAATGTTGCAACATTGCAGTCCTTTAATTGTAAAGCAGCATAGCAAATCCACTTGAGTTGATCTTGCATTAAGTTCCAAGAAACAAGTAGGTTGTTAAATAGAGAATGTGCATAATTAAGTATTAAAGGCCTTTCCATCGCAAAGTTGACCACCTCCTACCAAAAGGAGGCTGCCATCAGGCATTGCCAAAATATACAAAAAAACAGAATATTAGCTGCATTGTACTTCCAACAACTGACCGATTTAATTAAACCCTTATTAAAGAAACACTGTGACATCCAATATACGGTTTTTGGTGGGAAAACTCCGCTCCCTTCCCCCTTCGTGGTATAAATAGAGCGGAGTGTCTGCCATTTTACTCAGTCTTGAAGACCGCACGTTCGCCCTTTAGAGGTTAAGAATAAAAGTAATAAGAAAACACAATTATATCTGAACGGTACCGATGTGAATTATAGTACGGTACCGAGAACAATATCTAGTCAGCGATATAACCCAACGGTACCAATGCAAATTATATTTCGGTACTGATTTATAGTACGGTACTGAGAAAAACGAGATCCACTCACCGACACCGAGTGGGTCCAGCGGGTGGGTTGTGTGAATGCACAGATGGCCACTCGAAGAACATCAGTTACAGGTAAGCAATCTGCTTTTCTTCGTCGTGGCCTCTGTGCATCACATATATGGGTGATTCGCAAGCTTACCACAGTCGGAGGAGGGAGGTGTCGTCAGCGAAGAACAGATGAGAGAAAAGCTCCACCAAAAGAGCAGTCTTGTCTGGCACGTACATCAAGCCGATAGTACTTGGAGAAAGTACATGGACCAGCCCAGATCGCAGCTCTGCAGATGTCTTGCACCGAAAACCCCTGCGGCAAAAG